AATCTCCGTGTGTGAAAGTGATTAATGGCTGATCTGGGGCCACAGAGCTTCCCCTGAACTCACAGATGTTCCGACTCATAACGCTGATGATTCTTCAATACCTCAAGGCGATTAAAGCTATTATATCACGTTAAATTTTATCTCTCTGCCCTTATGACTTAGTTAGCTGAACGCGTTCTGATTACTTAGTGTGAATTCAGGTTCTCACGGTTGCGAGTAAATTTCTTTTCTTCTAGGATGTTGCGCCGTGTTGTCTAGGGGAGTGTTTACCGACGTTTCGTAGGTGATTGCTGCCTCTATTACTAGGACAAACAACACGAAACTGTCCCAGAAGACAGTCTAATGTGTTACTGTTTTCTTCTTGATACCTGTACAGTGGAAAGAGAATCATTGGTTACTTCAACTGATAAATCTGGTTCAAGTACCAATTTTACCGTCACACACGACAATCTTATGCAAATCGTTAAGAGTGCATTTATTTTATATAGTTAATGTAAGCACTATAGAAACATGTTTCAGCCACATATAATTTCGGAGGTGTTGCCTACCGCGGCTTGAACCTGGAAACGAAAATTGGCAAGTACCACAGTTGGTATCAAAGTCGAGATTTGAACTGCGGCATGATTTGTGTATGAACCTCAAAAGCTCATTCTCTAGCCTGCTCAGGCTGATAAAATTACACCGGAAATTGTATTGACAAGATGAGTGGAACATGTAGGACGTACGAAGGACGGAGGACCAAGAACTGATAGAGAATTTTGGCGTGAAGTCTCAAGGGGAGAGTCTACGCGATGGTATGAAGGAAATGTGGACGTTTGACAGATACAAACGTTTGAGGATATGCACTAAACCGAACTCACATCTAATAATGACCAATAACGACTTTTATAAACGTGTAAAGGAATTTTTAGATTTTGAAAAACATTAGAGCTCTTAAATATGAAATTTGCTCGAACCATTTGACTATATGTATTAATTTCCCTGATGCCACTGATGATGACCTCTTGAGGTCGAAACGCGTATGGCAATAGTGTCCATTATAGTGTTAATAGTTGTTGGTTTGTTCACTCTATATTAGAGCTCTTGATGAACCGAGGAACTATCATGTGTTAATCGAAGGCCCTATACCGCGGAGTTAATTTACAGGAATATAATTGTTCTGGAATTTCTTCGGCTGTAAGTCACAGCTCACAAATAATCCTTTCAGTCTATTATGGTGTTCCTTTGGACCAACTGATCACATTTTAATTTCTAGTTCTTGTTTTATATGACAAAACTTTTCAGTTTCATGTTTTAATCAAATTTCATTAGGATTAAAATGAAAAGAACCCATCTTTTGTGATAAGTTTGAAGATTACTCAGGCAATGCTGGTGGTGAGAGACGAAGACGGAGTTTATCGACCAAAGAACTCTCATGCCAATACAGCACAGTCAAACTTTTGCCAGGACTTTCAAGTTGTCTACAAGACATTAGCTATTGCATTAACCGTGATCTTTTGTTCCCCCCCCCTCCCCCTCACTACACCGTCCTTCTTTTCGGACGCCTTTTACTTGTAATTTGTTGTAGCCATAACTATCTCGAATTTCTCGAGAGATGTCGTAAAATCTCGTCAGCACAGATTCTGACGTAATAGCTTATTGAGAGTAAATTAAGGAAAGGTGTTGGACATCATCATCATTATCTTCTTCTTCTTCTTCCCTCTATACGACTGCATTAATCTGCGTTTTAATAATCAAGTTTGGGTTGGGTGGTGAACATGTTTGAAAATAACTATTTCTATTACGTGTGCCACCGTAATGTTGTTAAAGGATTCTGGAAATTTTGGGACTTATTTGGGCCTTTATTTTAGGCTATGCCTAAATACCAACAGCTCTGTGATTTAATTATCAGTTATGCTTTATATTTTCCCATACCCCAAACTTTGAAATAGGCCTGTAAACAAATCTTTATCACATTAAACACTAGATTTATATAACATAGATGCAATTCATAGTTATTGCCATCAAACGTGAAATGAACACAGATTTAACGCAGTGCCATGTTGTTTTAAGAAAATATAATAGTACAAGATTCTGTATTAGACGCGTGTGTGCATGTCATGATGATGTTTTTTGCGATACAAAATAAGACACGTACAAGGGTCTCCGATGGGACGAAGTTCATACGAAGTTTCATCACGATCATTTGATTTCTAAGAATGTTACTAAAAGTACGGTTACACACACATTAAGCGTAAGTGTCTAAGGCTTGTACACCGACGATAGTAGTATATAAATTAATTTCAAATTTGATTTAAAGTGTGTTTATGAACACACATATTCCAATCAAGTGCACTGTAATATTATAGCCCGTTTTCAGTATAAGTGCTTCATAAATTCGTTCTTTGTGATTTTGAATCCGTTATAAGTTTTAATATTTTTTGCTTCAATTACTGACAAAATTAAAGCACAGTACAGCTTGTATATTCGCCAAATAACAAAACATTTTCTTTGTAATCTTCAAAATGTACACATTATCCAAAATTGTTTCAAATACGCAAAATTTACAGTCAAAAAATATACAGCACGTTCTTAATGAATAAACGACTGAATACCATCGCTCATACTAAATGAAAATTACATGATTTTATAATACGTAGATGTAGTTGTCCTTGGGAAACAGTTTTCCATTCCAGTAGCATTAATCAACCAACATCTGACTCGCAGAGGTTTTCAGTTAACTGAAACGCCTGCCAGTCTCGGTCATGCAGCCAGTTCGTCTTTCAAGTACGAGTGGTTGCCTATCGCGGAAGTAAATCAAATAAATTGACTACAGCTGCGCAAAAGAAGGAAAACATGCATTGTGCATTTGGGCACTGTCATTTTTTTCTTTTTTGAAAAAGAACTACTCCAGTTAACACAAACCAAATCGTCGTATTACTTAGGGCGTCGAGTTTGGTGCACATTGAAATTGCCTGCTGACATTTAATTTAATATACGATGTGATATTTTTATTCATCAAAACCCCAACCTCACAACCTTTTACTTTAGATCCATTCTTACGTATTGTTTTATCTATTCTACTTATATGAAAATATCCTTGATCTATGCATCTAACCGACAGTCTACATGCTTTTTCTTTACAGTTTCCTATCTGCTTATTCTTATATCACTTTTGATTAATCATGCAGTTGTTCTGCAGTGTTACATTTAAAATGAAATCTCTCCTACGAAAGTATTTGGAGCTTTAGTGACATAATTGTAAGAAGACGAACCAGTTCTCAGTTTTTCATTGTCAGGAAGAACTTTACAGCAGATGTCCACCGCCTTCTCGAAAACACATTTCTTGAGCCCCAACATTTCATTTCCAGCCGGTTTATTGTCTTGTTTGGTACTTCCTTGTAAGGATGCGCATTGATAAATGCTTCAGCAGTAAACGATTTCGATACGAAGCAGTGTTCGAGAATGAACATGTGTCCTGTTCTTCGATGCAGCACGTTCACATCTGCACAGCTTTTGCACATCTGACATGAACAACGAGGGTTACATTGATGTAGGTATCACGAGGAGGATGGGGGTAAGAATGTCTGTTACAAAAGAGTGGACCTGCTTCTGGTTTTATTTATGTGCATTAGTATGTGATTGTTTTTGGTCTGCGTTTTGAATGGAACACCTGTACCAAGTGTTGTTAAGCGCTGTATAACTACAGTTCTCGATACACCACACTCAAACAAAACATTAAAGAAACGAGTTCTTGTGTAAAGTGATGCACATTCAGAGTGGTTATGCACGTGCGTTCGTTCCTCTGTTTGGACCTTACTACACCCACGCCCGTGTCTGTGTGTTACAGGAGATGGATCCTGTGCTGCAGGAATGTTCCGTTGTCTGGAAGGCAAGTGCATTCCGTCGCTGTGGGTGTGCAACTATCAGAAGGACTGCGAAAAAGGAGAAGACGAATTCCAGTCTTGTCGTAAGTAAACAAACTCAATCTCCCAATTAATGAATTTAGACAAAACTGTCACGTCACAGCCTGTAATTAGTGCGTCGGCAGATGCTTATTACTCTGTATTCTAGGATCGTGTGAATGTCAATTACATACGCTGGTTTGTTCTGAGGAGTGCCAAAGAAACTGTGGAATCTGAACAGCAGCGATTTAACCTTAGCTAAATAACCAGTAGGCTAGACATACATATAAATACCTTACTTGTAATTTGAGTGTCCTTCCTGAAACGTTGACAGTCGCTTAGCTAGTTAAGAACGCCTCACGTTATGGAACCTGAAGATACATAAAAGATAACTTTCCTTGGATGTTGCGCCGTGTAGTATGGTAGACGTTTTCCGAAGTTTCAGAGGTGCTTCTTGCCTCCATCATAAGGGCGATCGCCTTGATGATGGAAGCTTCAGGTACTTCTGAAACGTCGGTAAATTTCTACTAGACTGCACAGCGTAACATTTCAAAAGACAGTTATTTTCGTACTCGCCACTTTGAGCACCTGAAATCTCACCGTTTATAATCATGTTCATGGTCTCCATTTTTAGCCAGATATGTACAATCCATCATTGGCTGACTACTTAACTCCAGTTGACAGAATAGTTCTTGAGTAGCTAATCGTCTCTCAGCTATTGAAGAAATTCCACGCTTTTCGTGGAACCAGAAGTTTTATTGCTGTGCCCACAAGAGCCCGCCACCCGACACTCCCGAGCCAGATGATTTCAGTCCACATTATGACATCCTGTTTAAGTTCACAGTAGAAAAAATTAAAATTATTTTGATTTTATAAACTTGGATGTTTCGTTCTTCTGTGGCAATACGAGATCACGGTTCACATCTATACATCCAAACGATAAGGAAGCGATGAAATGGCTGTGCCATGTCTTAATCTTAATGTTTTGGAGAGCAGAGCACGTCTTTGGACGCGTCTTGTAATAGACACATCCGTCGTATTTGCCACTTTCCGGATTATCTGTCTTTACTCTGTCATTTCCCGTGCCTGTGTTCGTGTTGTCTCCAGGCAATCTCTTGCTCAGGTTCCCTTACATGCACGAACAGCATTCTGCTTTGGATGCCGCCACTTTGGTGTCGTCTTACTATGCACGAATGAACTTGTGCGAAGTGGCTGGTGGTCTGTATTATTAATTGTCGGTGAAAGCCCAAGTCTAATCTAGTTACCGCAACTTGGAAGACACCTGAAGTGGCTCAAAGGATCGTTTCTCACCGGGAACATGTATTTTAAGGAGGATTAATCTCAGTACACCTCATAAAACAAAGTACCTGGTTCAAACCATACTTTGAAAAAGACGAGATCTTTGGTGATATCAAGAGCTTGGTAATAAACAGTAGCAATCTAACAGTGTCTGTTTCCGCATGGTTACAATACTGAACGTTCTCGTAGTACAATACGAAGTTACCAAAACCGTTCGGAGGACAAGATCACGAACCTTTTCCGCCAGTCTCCCACTGCGACAATCAGCTTTTCTCCAGTCCACCTTTTCTGTCCTCGCAGTGGTGGTTTACTAGAGTATTGTATTAATAAGCAGCGTTTTTGAGTACTGGTTTCCTCACCAAAATGCTGTGCGCATTTTTTGTCTCCCCTGTCCTACCTGGATGCCCGGCCGTCGTAATTAATCCGACAGTTCTATCTCAACGGCCCTGTTTTTGTAGTAGGTAAGTATCACGAAGCTATAAAGGTACAATTTGGCTGCACGCGACAGAGACAAGCGACCGAGGTAGGCGACAGAGTTACGAGACCGAGACTGGTCGCACCTGTCTGCTCTCTGTACAATCGTATGAAGTACAATTACGAGCGCGAGACAAAGACAGGCGACAGAGACAAAGCACAGGAGACCGCTCTCGGACCAGTAGTGTCTCGCGACGAGCTCAGGCAGCACGTGTGTTGTTGAGTAAAATAATGGCAGAAATTAAATTTACCGGTGACCAAGATGAGCAATTGGTAGAATTAGTAGCAGAAAACCGACCACTGACCACCGACAGAAAGATCCTTCTTCGCGTCTGGTTTTGAATATTGAACTCATGGGTTTTCTTTGTTTCTTTCGCAACAAATAACACAGGAACACATCATCTTCTTCTTCGAGTAACCTTTTTAGAAGCATTTTTGTACTCATTTTTCACAGAATATGTGCACGTATGTCTCAACAAAACAAAGAAAACAACCACTTTGCCGCATGTCTCGGTCGTCACCTCAAAAGTGTGTGGCGACAAGCTGCGATGTGTCCGTCTCCCGTCTCTGTCGCCTGCCTCGGTCGCTTGTCTCTGTCGCGTGCAGCCAAATTGTACCTTAATACACCTCAGTGGCGCAATATACATACTAAATTTCAACGTCAACGAAAATTCTTGATTTTTTTCAAAAGTTATTTGGGAGGGACCGACACATGGACATAAACCACATGCCCGTCTGTCTTTATGAACTCTGAAACGTTAGGTCTCTTGCACATGTGAGTGACGGTGGGAACTGTAATCGAGACAGGAACTTCGAAAGACCTGCGTCATAGAACTTGGTCTGCTGTCATCGGCAGAAAAGAATTATTAAAAGCATTCATGGATCAATTTGGGAATCAATATTTTTTGTTCTGCGTGTAACCTTTACCGCCATGTCCCATTTTTGCAGTTGGCGTGTCGTTTATTAAATTTCGAATGTGTTGTTATGAAATTGCTTGTGAATTTTTAAGTAATTAAGCCTTTCATAAAAGAGCAGGTATCAAAGGAAATAAATAGTATTTAGGTCCTCGTAAATAATCTTTTATTTTGTAAACAGTTTATCAGAAGACTTTCCCAACTTCCTGGCTTAGAATTAAGGACTCATGTTGTTGGAATACTCAACTTCCTGAAATTCACTTAAAAAGTATTTCCACACACACACGCCTTCTTTAAACGTATATCCAGATCAGCTCTGTCTCCTTTCCAACCTTTCAAAAGGGGATTTCCCTGGGGTTAAGTCGTTGGTGCATGAGTCCAGCCACTCTGCTTTATCCAGAGTTGAGGTCTGGAAATTTTACTTTTGGAAGAACTTTATATCTTTACACATCATATTCACTCCCCCCAAATTTTACTCTTCGAGATGAAGTCTGGAGATAGAAGGCTTGTAATTGTAGTGTGTTCACAGATCCTAGACATTTTAATTTGTTACAGAACATTACACGATAACAGAAGTCTGTGTTTATTTCAGGGCTGACGTCACGGCATATTGTTCTTCAGTAGTGTGTTTCCGTTATCGCTCTGAGGTGTGGACAAGTTGTCTCTAGTTTGTAGTGCATTTTCGCTTCACGACTCGTATTATCTCTAAAAGCATTCATGCAGATTTCCTCCAGCTAATAACACGAAGGCTTTACCGTCTCCCATAACATGGAGTTTGTAATCAGTGCGTAGATAAGCAGAATATATAGCAGAGAGAGACTGTAACAAGGCTGTGGTATTACACATGCTTGTGGTTGACGTGGCTAATTTTAATATTCTGAAGGACTGGATTATTAGTTTGTCTGATGATCCTCTATCAACTTTCAAGTAAACAAGCTGAAAATACAGGGGCATATAGCTCGCATGGGGAGATGTGAAATGCAGATGGGATAATATTAAAGTGGACCTTAGGGAAATAGGGATGAAGAGTGTAGATTGAATGCATTCAGCTCAGGACAGGGACCGGTGGTGGACTGCTGTGAACAAGAAAATCAACTTATGTTTTACATAAAAGTAGGGAAATGTCTTGGCTAGCTGAGCCATTATTATCTTTCTAAAGTCTTTTTTCCATGGAGTTAATTAGTGCTGAGCGAGATGATCATGCCCGGTGATTAGATAAGAATTTGGAATGAGACGGATGTTATCTGTTGTAAGGCTAGTTCCGGTGGAGAGACAGTTTTCGGATATGAACGTGTTGTTATCGTCAGCCACGTGGAAGTTACCGAAACGCACGTGGTCGTCTTAGTTGAGTGAATCAGGTGTCGGCCTGGGTGGAGGGATACATTCTTCGAAGTGTGCTTGTATTTACATCGGGAGTAAACTAAAATTAAATGAACTCTGACCCTTGTGGGTGGGGGTGATATGAGGTTTGGCGTTGCGGCGGTTGCCTGGTTGTTGGATAAGTTATAATCATTGTCGAAAAACAAAACTTTGCTGAATGACAGTGTGAACTATTTGTTTCAGCTCCGCCCGACTGTGAGCCCGGACAGCAGTCATGCGGTCAGTACATGTGGAACAAGACCTACTGCATTCCCCCGCATCACCGGTGCGACATGACGGTGGACTGTGTCGATGGCACAGATGAGGCAGAGTGCAGTAAGTTGCTTGAGTTTGGCGTGCATGTCACGTTGAAAACGCTACTGGCTGGCGGCCGGATTGAAATATTTCCCGTGCCCCTCAAAGGGCTCAAGGACACGTTGCGGGATGAATTCTACGATAGACGAGCTAATACGAGTAGATCTGCATGCAACTGACTGTGGAGCCAGGCACCAAATCTTTGCAGTGTCCCGTAGTTTTCCTGTTCATTACAAAAAAAACTTAACTAAGGTGATCGTGGAGCCTAGAACAACGTTCGTCATATTGGATGGCGTGGGGAGGAGCAGAGCCGTGGGTGTGAAATCGTTTTGACTGTAATTTATTCAGCTTCATTATATGTTAATACATTATGTGGTCCAGTCACACCATACTCATGTGGAAGACACTCCCCCAAATCTGAATTGTTAGTATCAAAGCAAAGAAGCTGAACTAGACTTTAAGAAGAAATATGTACAGTGTTTAGTGTTAAAAAAGTTTTACATCCGAGTCACTCCTTATAAGACAAATGTGTCATGACTGTTTAACTGTATAGTTCCTTATGCTGAATAATCGTGCTCAGTGGTGTACAGGCATATGGTTCATGTAGGTGGGGCAGGTGAGCAAAATTGATCAAGATGAATCCAGTGGTTCTTGAATTATGAGATGGTATAACGTAAAAACCATGTGACATATGGGCATAAAATGCATATTGTTTTCTTTGCTGATTTTTTAGTAACTTTTTTGCTCCAGTAAACATTTAGTGAGTTACGCTATGCATGATCTCAGAAACACTTGTAGGTGTTCAATGTGAAGTGTCTGACTTCATCCAAAACTGGCACATGCCAATACATTTTTAGTATAGTCGGCGCAGTAGTTTTTGGCCGGTGGAATTTTCTTGGGGAAGGCTAGGAGCGAGTCACTTGTGCGATAGTATAATGCTGACTGCACCGAGGAACTTATCGGACTGAAAGCACGAACAAAAGAAATCCACTGACCGTGCCACCTCAGGTACACAGAGTAGGCCCGTCCGCCAGCGTCGACTATAAAATTGTACAGTATCAAATTTCATAAAATTACATTAAGCATTTCTTAAGTTATTTGCAGATGTGGAAAGACATGGTAATGTTAATTAGTAAATTTTTGCAATTTCGTTGTTAATGTGACTAAAATTGCTTGATATCAGCAACAGCTTCTATTGCTCTAGTCTTCTATTACAGAATGACAGATCTGGTTTAGAAATGCAGTAACTTGCCCAAATCATCTTGTTGCAGCATATCGAAAGTGTCAAGCTGAAGACGTTCGTTGTGGTCCGGACTCGGCTGGGCCATGTTTGCCTAAGGAGAAGAAGTGTGACGGATACTATGACTGCCGAAACCGAAGGGATGAAGAGGGTTGTCCTCCAGATCACGGGGTGTCTTGTTCTTTAGACCAATTTCGCTGTGCGAACAAACAGCGCTGCATTGACAACTTCCTGAAATGTAACCATCGTAATGATTGTGGTGACAACAGTGATGAAGAGAACTGCAGTGAGTGTCCTTTGGAAATGTTAAAGACACGTCTATATATTCAGCTGACAAGTTGTTTCTGTGCCCGAGCACGACATTATGAATATAATAATGAAATGGATATTTATGCTCAAAAGAGCCACTAATTAATTTTTATTTCACTTACTGTCTTTGTTTCTGTTATCTATTATAGGAGCTGTTTTTGAGCTTGTTGTTTTCAGTTTCTGTTATGGCGTATTTTCGTCATGATTTCAGATTTTCCGCCGTGCCACGTGGGTCAGTTTCGTTGTGAGAATGCGCTCTGTATTCCTGCAAGTTTCCACTGTGATGGTTACAGAGACTGCCAAGACGGCACTGATGAACAAAACTGCACGGCTATTGCTTGTCCAGGAAACAAGTTTCTGTGCCCCGAGGGAGGACCCGGAGGAATTCCTCGATGCATTCTCCGTTCATCATTGTGTGATGGCAAGAAGGACTGTGAGGATTCAGCGGATGAGGAAACAGCTTGTTGTGAGTTTACAGTTTTTATTTCTGCTGAAGCAGATAGTTACACACGTTTGTTGCATTTGTTATGCCGCTTCCTCTCATGAAAGAATGAAGGGAATGAGTCAACAGGGTACAAGAATTAGGAAAACCTCCTGGTATCCTGTCTCTGGGCCAAGATCTGAACGCAACAAAGAATGAAGTGGGTCTTGTCGTATGAGAACCAATCCGTATGCAAACATATGCGAATCTTGGAGGTCAGAAGATGTGAAATGTTGTAGAGTCATAAATAAGGGCCCCCATGTTGAGAAAAGCAACCAAATTATCAAATTTACTGTGATAAGCCATCTACTAGTATGCAGTGGTGCCTTCCTTTTGAAAAGAATACTAATTTATTTGTTTATCGGACTCTTTCAGACTCGTACAGTTTCTACATTTGACATTCTACTACATTTTTTTTTGTTTACATTTAAAAATAGCCAGATTTAAATGTTGAACTTGAATGCAATGTTCTAAGTCCTGAAATCTGATCAAGGATCTTCTTGGGGTCTGTTATTTTGGACACATGGCAAACCACCCGACAAAATTAATTCCATTATTCTTCCTTCTTTTCTTTCTCTATTATAATTTTAAGATTGTCTGACTAAATGTGACGCTGAATTGGGATATAATTATATGCGAATGTCAAAATTAATTCTGAAAATGTTAATTTTGCATTTTTAATATCTTCTTCTATGGCTCTCTGGTCCGTATTCGGTCCATGGCCTCCTCAATTCTCCTCTTCCATTCGGTCCTCTGTTAGGTCCGTCTGTCCGAGGCTTTGATTGAGGTTTCGAAACGTCTTCCTTTTTACGGTGCAAGGTTGTTAGCCTTGCGACCAACCCCCAACCTGGAGGACCAGGGTACCTGTCTTAGTCTGACCTCTCCCCCTCGACCAATGTGGCTAGGGAGGCCCTACCAGTAGCTCTTGGGGTCACTGAGGTACTCAAGCCCCACCACCACGACAAGGTACAGGTACCATTAAGTGGAGCAATTTTTAATATGTTCAGTCCAAGTACTTACTGATGGATTCATTGCTTGACCGATTGATTTATATTTTTATGTGTCTCTTGTAGCTTCCAGCAGCTGTCAGTCTCTAGGATGTGAATATAAGTGCCAAGCATCATTGACAGGTGGCAGCTGTTACTGTCCTGATGGACGACAAGTTGCTAATGACAGTCGGTCATGTATTGGTATGTTGATTTAAAGTTTACTGATAAAATTTTTTGATGAGGTTTCATTTTCATTCTGAATATGCTTGTGCATAAACCCTCATAGGGCATTTAGGTTAATAGCAGAAGAAATTTATAACACACCAGCATGTATTGTACTAAGTTTCCAGTACAAATTAATGACTATGAAGAAATCATTACTAAAATTACTTAAGAGCGAGGGACCTCTGCTGTGATGTACAAGTATTACCACAATAATTTTTCTGTGCATAAACAAGGTTACATTGTGCAAAACGGTGAATGACAGGATGAAGACTGTATTTTCAGTCAGGTTTTACATATCATGTGTGATTTGCAGAATGTTCATTGTAAATAGTCAGTCATTAAACAGTCACAACCGCCATGGTGGTCTAGCGGTCAGAATGCTGGCCTTGTAATCCTGGGGTCCTGGGTTCTATTCCCGGCGGTGCCCGAATTTATAACTTGTGTCGGGCAAGGCCGTGGTCTAGGCAACACGGAGTTTTCCTCCGGGGCTTCCCCGATTTCTCTGTGGCATCCTAACAATTACTCCATGAAGAAAGCAATGTCAAACCACTTCTGTATCACCTGCCTAAAAACATATATGAACAGGTCCCAGTCCGAGAAAAGGATGGAAGGATCCTGTTCATAATATGTCGCCAACCTCCTGTAAAGGAGACGTCGTAATAAAGAAGAATAAACAGTCACGAAGATCATGCACATTACAGTAATAACTGTAGTAATTTCTGCTGAAGAAGGCTTAGTTAGTATTCTTTAATTTTTATTCGGAAGTGTATTATTTATGTTACAGATAAAGACGAGTGTCGGGAATGGGGTTTCTGCGAGCAGCTCTGCGAAAACACTGATGGCTCATACCAGTGTTCTTGTATGCCCGGATATACGCTTCAGAATCGCTCCCAGTGCGTAGCTCCTAATGACTCCTCTCTCTTACTGTTCTTTGCTCATGATCATTCTGTTTGGCGCATGACAGCGCAAGGACAAAACGTTCAGCTAGTAGCAAATGCAACTGGCGCCAGTGGCCTCGACTTCCACTTCAGCCGCAATCAACTCTACTGGTCAGATGTGAAAACTCGCAAGGTATAACTTGAAGCTTTTCAGTACTGTTTTCATTTAAATTAATAGAAATATGGCTGATCAGGGAAAGCTGTGAATGAGTACGTGGCTGTTTGGTAACTGAGTGAGCAAGGTGGTAAAGGGTGGCTGGTTTCATCAGACAATGCAATTAAGAAATGATTTCCTACATTATCATCTGGTTTGGCTTGTTTTAGCTTTGTTTTCTTGCTTGAGCAATGAAAATGATGAAGCAGGATCTGTGAAATCTTAGATTTAAAACTGGTAACTCCATGGGAATAAGGCCGGGGCCACACATACTTTTGTACAGACGTAGGTGAGGACACCACGCGAGCGCCAATTACCGTGGCAGCTTGGAAGGATTTAGAAAAAGAAAATAATAATAGTATTGTCCGTACTTACAAATCATAATTCTCTGACGGACGTCACGATGCGCGTTACAACGGACGTACTTTGTATGGTCGTGTGGCCCCAGCCTAAGTGATGGTTGAAAGATCAGGGCACCAACTTCTGTTGACAAGGAATAGAAAAACTTATCCCATGGCATATTAAAAACACCAGTCTCTATTGGAACCATGTGAAGACATGGTTTGTGTGGTGCCATGATGTTGCGTTATATCCATGTTGAAGTTTAAATGGATTGCTTACAAACTTACGTTCTGATCGCTTCTAATGATTTATTCATTTCAGAGTACCGTTGTTAAATTTCGGGTTTTATTTGTAAATTCCTTTTCATCTTCTTGTCGTTCAGGTTCATTCACAACAGCTGATGTCATCTGGTACGTCAGTCTCGTCTGATTCTGACATCACGTTGCCTGGAATGTGGTCTCCAGTTGCACTTGCAGTGGACTGGGTGGGTGACAAATTGTATATAGCAGATGCTATTGGACAGAAAGTGGATGTCTTTGAGCTGGATGGTCATTGGCACGCTGTTGTGCTCAGTAGCAACTTGAGCAATCCAGCGGATATAGCACTGGATCCGACAGTTGGGTAAGACAAGAACTTGAAAGACGTGCTGTCTACATACTCTGTGGGTTTTGATTATTTCACTGCCTGGTTTCGTGGAAATACTGGCTGTATTAATGACTATTTCTAATAGTATTTTTGTTGTTTAACTTAGCCAGGGTAATGTCTTTATCATGTACTTCTAGACCAGTGGTATTCAACCTGGAGTACGCGTACCCCCGGGGGTACGCGAAGACATCTTAGGGGGTATGTGAAATTTAAAAAAAAATTATTTTATGATAAACACTGAATAATCAGGGCCAGATTTAGGGTTAGCCACACGAGAACCAGACGTAAGGACATTCAACTTGGGAGCGCCATTTCTCTCTCTCCTTTATGCAATTCTTATCTGGGGGGCTAGTTTCATTTTATTCCACATACTGCTTTGGAACCTGAATGAACACTATTGGGCGGGATTTATACATGTAATTTTGCTTTGCTAAAATATCTTTGTTCCTTTATTAATTTTTATATGATAGCCAATAATATATTTGTTATTTAATATCTTGATTCTCCTTTTTCTCATTTAAAACTTATTATTTAATACATTATTTTGGATGTAATTTGTTTAATTTATTTTAGATGTAGATTATATACTATGTATACCTTGAATTATACACCAACAACTTTGGGGGTACAAAGTTGAAGAGAAATTATATCTGGGGGCATGCGAACAAAAAAGGTTGAATACCACTGCTCTAGATGTTGAAGTTAATGGTGCATTTGTTGCCTTTCAGGTACATGTTTGTGGCTGATAGCACTCAAGTTATTCGTGCAAACATGGATGGTACAAATGCCATGGCCATTGTATCTGAAGCTGCATACAAAGCATCAGGTGTTGCAGTTGATATCATAGCAAAGCGAGTATTTTGGTGTGATTCCTTACTTGATTACATTGAGACAGTAGACTACGAAGGGAACAACAGGATCTTGGTGGTTCGAGGTAATAACGCCAAATCATCACGTACCATATTTGGTTTGACTACATAATGTTTCTTCACACTTTGCTGAAGTGTATTGGTCTGTACTTCCATTTTGCATTGTAGAGAACCTGGTTGTGAATCCCAGCGTCTGGGTGTACTCTTTTATTATCACTGTTTTGTCCAATTCCTTTAGGTATGTGCCCTTTATACTGCCTTAACTTTGGCAACAACCATTTCCTTCCACATTTTTCCAAATTCATTGTTCATATTCATAAGATGGTTGTCATTGGAAAAGATGGAGACAGCAAAGAATTTAGCCTCAGAGTAAGTCATTAGCCTGGACCTTATTCACAATAACAAAAAGAAAATAATTGGTGCTTTTTCTGTATTATTTTTTGTTCTTTATCTAAATCAACTGGTCTGTGTTAAGTACTCAATTACTGAATGAGAGTCACCATATTTTTTAATTTTTGATGTGGACCAACAAAGGAGAAAGTGAGTCTGTGTTATGTATTTATATCAATGTGTGCAGGATTGTGAGGATAAACATACTTTGTGTGTGCATACCTTAAAATAAGCCATGATTATCTTTTCCACATCTCTACTTTTTCATCACTCATAACTTTACTATATCTCATATGTAATGTTATATAACTCCAGCAGTTGGTAAAATATTATAAAGTAACAAGATAATAAACTGATGGACATCCTATCATCGTGTCAAGCCCCACCCACACCCTGCGGAGCCCAGTTAAAATATGAAATGGCTGTGCCAGCTCAGGTGGTTAGTAGTTGCTGGCCTCTCACTGCAGAGGCCTGAGTTTATGCCCGTCGCAGTCCATGCAATAGTTGTAGTGGAGAAAGTGGCTCTGGGGCAGGTTTTTATCCAAGTTTTTTGGTTTCCTCCTACCAGTAACATTCCACTTCTGTTCCTTATTCGTTCATGTATTGTCCATGAACTGGTCAGTGGGCCCATTAATGACCACAGTTCCACAGAGACACACTCTTTTGCCTTAGTAATAATAATAAAACTGTGAATATCTGAGTAACAAATTAGCGTTACCAACATATTATGGTACTTTCAGGTCAGACGGTACCGTCCCCTTCTCGTCTTACACTATTTGAGAATCATATCTTCTGGTCTGATGGCACAAAGCAGGGAATCATGAGCATTAACAAATATCAGGGCCACAACAGCATTCAGGTGGTGTACCGTAAGAGGGAAGTAAGAGAGCCGAAGGGTGTCAAGGCTGTGCATGGACTGATTCAGCTTTATGGTAATAAACATAGCAATACTGTTTAATACTTCGCCATTATTAATTATGTGTGTACAATATCAGTAATGAAACATAATTATGTACGTATGCAAATGTTATTTTGTTGCTCTGTATTATTAGTGTTCAGCTGTCTGACTAAATCTATGGCTACTCATAGCATCAAGTACATATACGTATAATTAGCTTAATTAATTTATACTTGTTTAATTCATGGCTAATGTACAGTACGAGTTTATGTAAATATCTTTGTAGTTGATAATGAATGGTATGGAGAACTGCATTTCCCAGACTTTCTCCGCATGTCTTGTTTTCACCTTTTTCAGTTTCAGTTTTGTCATGCCATGTATTTGTTTTCCTCAGCATCAAACCCATGTGGAAATCAAAATGGTAACTGTGATCACATGTGTATTGTAACTGCTGGTGAAGGAGCAGGAGCGTTGGGATACCGTTGTGCATGTAACATCGGCTGGATGCTTGGAAGTGACCAGCGGCATTGTAATCGTAAGTTTAAAAATATATGTGATATGCAAGTTTATTTTATAAATGAATAAAAAAACAATTATAATTAAATTGTTTCAGCATTACCATGGTTTAAACTTCTTATTATGTTCTACATGCTCAAAATTACTTCTAGACAAATTGATGTTGTCAATCTTTGTGCTCATAAGTGTATGTGTTTTCCCCCTGATATGCCAGTGATTCTGTTTGAGAGTTAACTGACTGTACAGTGCTCTGATATATTATTCATGAAATGTGGTACTGTTTTTTTCTTTTATACGTTGGCTCCGTTATCAGATTTATGCACTGTAACGTGAAATAAAGAAACATTGTTTTATTTTTATGAAGCAGTATAATATAACATGGGTTACAGTCTGTCTTCATAGACTTCTGAGAAGGTTAAGCGATTATGATAAGTGTTTTTAAAAAGTAATAGACGGCCAGTGGAAAGAAAAGGAAAATATTTATCTAAGGGAATGCTTCTACGAGAGTTGAAGTTTTCATAGCAGTGTGAGGTTAGGTTATCTTCTTCTGGGTTATGACATTCTGAGTCTTGAAGGTCGTTACCATTTCTGAGAAATCAGCTGTGTCTGTGTTTGTGGTAGGATGAATAGGTCTTGGATGTAAATGGATGACATAGGAAAGGTAGAAGGATAAAGACAGGGAGCACAAGAAGAATGGCCAATCAGAGCCATGGAAGAACGAAAGAACCCTGTCCAGGTCAGTGGAAACAGGGTATAAGAAAGCCGTTTTCAGGGCTACTGCAATGGAAAGCCGTTCGCAGGCATGACCAGAAAGTAGAGGAAACATGTTTTCAGAATTGTTAACTACTTACAATAATATCAAGTTTTGTAACCCAGAAGAGCATATTCTAACAAAATGTTCATTTAATTTGATGTTGAAAGGAATATACAATAAGACCAAGAGAAAAAACTTCGTTTACATTATTATGAATTTTACTAAACTGAGAGATACCATTACTTAAAATATAATAAAACACTTATAGAAACTTTTGGAATTTATATAACAAGAAATTAAATCTATTTTTAGCCATGACATAATTATTAATCTTAACATGTTAAAATAAGTTGTTTTGTTTGAATTAGTACATTTTATGTGCAAATAATATAGGAATATTCTCCAAAAAGATATTTGCTAAAAATAAGCTTAAAGTGTATAACACATTAATGTATTCTGGGTGTTTATTTGCAGTTATTGAAGAATTTCTAATGTATTCGCAGCAACGATTCATCAAGGGACGAGTCTTGGACCCTGTGATTGAGGGATTCAGTGATGCCATAGATCCAGTTGTATCACGCAAAGCTCGCTTTGTTGGTCTCGATTTTGATTTTAAGGATAAGTACATCTATTACTCTGATGTCCTACAGGACGTTATCTACAGAATTCATCGTAATGGAACAGGTGAATAACAGCTCAATACATAAACTATATTTAAAAAGAAAGGAAGGTAGGATAAATTAATTTTATAGGCTGCAGTGGGGCTGCTTGTAGAATGTAGGAGTCAATGGAAACATCTAAGGAAATTGTGTGTTATTAGTGAAATGTAGAAACATTACTTTTACAGAAGTTACTATTCCTCGAAGAAACTAGACATGGAAAGTGTTAAAAAGGGGTTTATGATCACAGAAAGTACTTAGTTTTCTTGAAACTGATGAATACATTATTTCGTAATGTTCCTGTTCACTTTCATCTTAGCGTACATAACATTTTATTGCTGTCTTCAAATGTATAAGTTCACTTGAGATGTAAGGTGAGCAAAATTTTAATGTTGTAAGACTGTGACCATTGGCGTACAAAAATGGGAGGTATTTATTCGATTTTAGACCACAGACCTGAGAAAATTGAAAATTGAAACATATACTCACTTCTGCTTCAGATATGAAATGAAAATCTTAGTGTCTCAAATGTAACCTTTTACTTTTTGCCTTGTAATGGAAGATTAATTGTTAAAAAGATAAGTTGTTATTGTTCTAAACCTGTCATTAATGTTTGTTGTCAGGCCGAGAGATTGTTCTGGCTTCTCAGAATGAAGGAGTGGAAGGTCTAGCAGTAGACTGGGCGGCCAAGAACTTGTATTACATTGACAGTCGTAAAGGAACGCTTAATGTTTTGAGCACTCGCAATGTTACATATAGGAGGATACTGCTGAACAACCTCAAGAGACCTCGAGCTATCGTAGTGCATCCTAACAGAGGGTAAGGATTTGGCTGATGCCAAAAGGAAGATAACGCCTAATATATTTCAGAAATTACAATCCTATCATCGTCATTCATAGAGATATCATTTCAATGCACAGTAAAATAAGATAGGCCATCTGTATGCATTGCAGACTAGGGGTTAAGCTCATGGCCAGTGCACCGTTGCATTTTGAGGTAGGCCTATTTGATTTTTTCATAACCTGGAAGTGAAAGATTGATCTGATGCGAAAAAATTGAAATGCATAAATGTAAGCAGGTTCATTCTGAGTACAACATATTTTTTCAGTGGTTTTCTTACATTATAGCTAAAACAATTTGGTATGTATTTCTAAGCACTTTTCTGCTTGTACATTTCACAGAATGAGCATTAGTCATTTTGTAGCAAGACTTTTTAAAGAACCCTGTCCAGGTCAGTGGAAACAGGGTATAAGAAAGCCGTTTTCAGGGCTACTGCAATGGAAAGCCGTTCGCAGGCATGACCAGAAAGTAGAGGAAACATGTTTTCAGAATTGTTAACTACTTACAATAATATCAAGTTTTGTAACCCAGAAGAGCATATTCTAACAAAATGTTCATTTAATTTGATGTTGAAAGGAATATACAATAAGACCAAGAGAAAAAACTTCGTTTACATTATTATGAATTTTACTAAACTGAGAGATACCATTACTTAAAATATAATAAAACACTTATAGAAACTTTTGGAATTTATATAACAAGAAATTAAATCTATTTTTAGCCATGACATAATTATTAATCTTAACATGTTAAAATAAGTTGTTTTGTTTGAATTAGTACATTTTATGTGCAAATAATATAGGAATATTCTCCAAAAAGATATTTGCTAAAAATAAGCTTAAAGTGTATAACACATTAATGTATTCTGGGTGTTTATTTGCAGTTATTGAAGAATTTCTAATGTATTCGCAGCAACGATTCATCAAGGGACGAGTCTTGGACCCTGTGATTGAGGGATTCAGTGATGCCATAGATCCAGTTGTATCACGCAAAGCTCGCTTTGTTGGTCTCGATTTTGATTTTAAGGATAAGTACATCTATTACTCTGATGTCCTACAGGACGTTATCTACAGAATTCATCGTAATGGAACAGGTGAATAACAGCTCAATACATAAACTATATTTAAAAAGAAAGGAAGGTAGGATAAATTAATTTTATAGGCTGCAGTGGGGCTGCTTGTAGAATGTAGGAGTCAATGGAAACATCTAAGGAAATTGTGTGTTATTAGTGAAATGTAGAAACATTACTTTTACAGAAGTTACTATTCCTCGAAGAAACTAGACATGGAAAGTGTTAAAAAGGGGTTTATGATCACAGAAAGTACTTAGTTTTCTTGAAACTGATGAATACATTATTTCGTAATGTTCCTGTTCACTTTCATCTTAGCGTACATAACATTTTATTGCTGTCTTCAAATGTATAAGTTCACTTGAGATGTAAGGTGAGCAAAATTTTAATGTTGTAAGACTGTGACCATTGGCGTACAAAAATGGGAGGTATTTATTCGATTTTAGACCACAGACCTGAGAAAATTGAAAATTGAAACATATACTCACTTCTGCTTCAGATATGAAATGAAAATCTTAGTGTCTCAAATGTAACCTTTTACTTTTTGCCTTGTAATGGAAGATTAATTGTTAAAAAGATAAGTTGTTATTGTTCTAAACCTGTCATTAATGTTTGTTGTCAGGCCGAGAGATTGTTCTGGCTTCTCAGAATGAAGGAGTGGAAGGTCTAGCAGTAGACTGGGCGGCCAAGAACTTGTATTACATTGACAGTCGTAAAGGAACGCTTAATGTTTTGAGCACTCGCAATGTTACATATAGGAGGATACTGCTGAACAACCTCAAGAGACCTCGAGCTATCGTAGTGCATCCTAACAGAGGGTAAGGATTTGGCTGATGCCAAAAGGAAGATAACGCCTAATATATTTCAGAAATTACAATCCTATCATCGTCATTCATAGAGATATCATTTCAATGCACAGTAAAATAAGATAGGCCATCTGTATGCATTGCAGACTAGGGGTTAAGCTCATGGCCAGTGCACCGTTGCATTTTGAGGTAGGCCTATTTGATTTTTTCATAACCTGGAAGTGAAAGATTGATCTGATGCGAAAAAATTGAAATGCATAAATGTAAGCAGGTTCATTCTGAGTACAACATATTTTTTCAGTGGTTTTCTTACATTATAGCTAAAACAATTTGGTATGTATTTCTAAGCACTTTTCTGCTTGTACATTTCACAGAATGAGCATTAGTCATTTTGTAGCAAGACTTTTTATATCTTCTTCTTCTTCTTTCTCATCTCCCATCGTGCCTTTATAGCGTCAGGGTTGATTGCTCGGTCCATCTCCTCCATTCTTTCCTATCCCTTGCTAAGAATTTTGTCTGTGTTAAACTTTTCCCCTTTGCCTGTCCTATTTCTCTAATAGTATCCAAGTAGCACTTTCTAGGTCTTCCTCTGCGATTCATCGCCCTGATGACAGAGGCAGTATGACCTCTGAAACGTTGGTAAACATCGACCAGACTACATGGTGCAACAACCCAGAAGACAAGAAATCTTCAAGGCAATGATAATCTAAAGAAAGTAGTATGTTATTAAAGTCTGCTACCTATATTGCTTTTTCAGGTACATATTCTTCTCAGAATGGGACAGACCAGCCAATATAAGTAGAGCATATACAGATGGCAGCAACCTTGTGGTTTTCCGAAATGTGACGTTAGGCTGGCCCAATGGACTTTCAGTGGACTTTCAGACTGATCGACTCTATTGGTGTGATGCTTTGCTTGACCATGTACAGCATTCTAATTTGGATGGAACAGATATTCGAACAGTCAGCTCGCGACTTATACGGCATCCATTCTCAATAGTTATTCACAAAGGTGAGTTCATAAAGTGCTGTATTTTGAAGTTTAAGGAAATATACTGAAAATTAAAGATTTTATTTTTGTATGCACACACATGTTCAAGGCTTTTAATCCGCAAAATGCTTCTGTATACAGTATTTTTTAAGGGAGATATTTTTTACCTCTACTTCATTCTTTTACCGTTTTTATGAATTAGGTCTCTTATCAATCAACCCATATAAAATGGAGTCGATGCTGTGCTTGCTCTATCCTGGTTCCTAATTCTAAACTTAATCAGTCAGAAGTCTTTTAAATTAAGTTTTCCTTTTGGTCTACATTTTAATTTTTATTTCATATATTTTTATTTATCCATTCTTTGAAAATGATTACTTCATTTGTGTGTTACATCTTGCACTATCATATTTAGTCTGTTTTTTATGTAATTTCCTTACCTGTCAGTTGACCTTGCTTCATCAATATATTTGAGGAACTTTATTTCCACACTGTGAATTATCCTTCTAGTTGTAAACATCAGTACATTTACTCAGAACAAATGAACTACAACTGAACCACATTTACACCCAGAAGACAGAAATCTTCATACTCACCGCTGTGAAAACCTCAAATCTAAAACAGTTACAGCATGTTACTATCTGACCTTGAGATACAATATGACCAGGCCTCAGCAGTGTTGCCAATTATACAATAAAAATATTCCAATATTGAACTTCTCTCATGTATTCTGTTGAGAGAGTTTTCAATTACTTCCTACTTGCATAAAGAATACAGAGTTATGTTTCTGTATTCAGAACTTCTAATAGTGCTTTGGTCTACCAGTCCCAGAACACACCCATCATCTTGCACCTACGAACACACGAATGAAATATTTATTTCAGAAACTATGTATTACTTCTTCTGGCTGCGATGGCACTGCCTCAGAGCTGACGAGACCTTGAATACGTGACAGTGTCTTGGAAAATGACACTTTCTTGGTGACAGTAACCTTTATAGGGTTGAAAATTATAAATAATTTGCAGCAGGAAAGCATAGCAGAATACTATATAGAGCAGTAAACAAAAGTACAATGTCATAACTACTTAAAATAGAGGTCCACTTCAGTATAATGCTACTGTGACACACGTCCGGCTGGAACGCACTTATCAGCATGATGCATGGATGATAGAAGTTAAGTTTTGAATTTGAAATTGTTTTGTATTAGTCTGGTAAACCCCACTTTACATGAAATTCTAAACACTGCTAAATTGCAAAGAATATCTTGTATTTATATGTATAAATGTTCCATAACTATTATACTGTACCTTTTGGTTAGACTGGATGTACATCACGGACTGGAGACTGGATGCCATTATCAAGCTACACAAACTGTCAGGAGAATTGGAAGAAGTTCTGGTGCGGGAGTCACAAACAAATCGTCTGTATGGTGTGAAGGTGTACAGTGGTTCTGTGCAGACCGTTGACCATAATCAGCCTTGCTCAGTTAACAATGGTGGCTGTGAAAAACTCTGTTTTGCTGTTCCAAGAGACAACACAACAGAACTGCAGGTAAGTTATTACTTCAACTGATTTCATCCTAAGGAAAAGCTGAGACAAGCAAAAACTTTTTTACTGTATTGTGTTTTTTTACATTGTTTTGTAATTTGTTGACGCTATGTTTCAGTAAAACTGTTTATAATCCATAATGGACAGCCCACAGAAATTGTTAACATAGTTTTCTGTAGACCTTATTGTATTTTCTTCTTAACATTTTTGAATGCTGATGGTACTATAACTATTAACTTACAATTCAGCTATCACTCACAAAACCTTATAGAACTTGGTGTAGAGAGAGAGTAGCTGGAGAAATGTAAAAATGACGGCTACACAGAGGAACTAAGTAAGAGTCAATCTGTAGGCAATTGCTTATCTGATGTTGCAATTACAGGTAGCCCTCGATTTACGCCGGGGATGCGTTCCTGGACGAACTGGTGTAAATGGAATCGGCGTAAATTGAAATTCTTTTAGAATGTAAATCAATGGGAAGTCAATGACACGCGTTCCCAGTACCTATGTGATAGTTGCATTCATGTAAGACACCGACCTATAGAAAATCCCGCAGAGATTAAATTGGTCCTTTGAAAGTTTAAAGCACCAGGAATGAAATTGCATAAGAGCAAATTCGCATATGCAAAAGTTTGCATTTCACAAACAGCTTTTACCGATTCATCGATCTCATTGGAGCAAATTTGCGTTAATGAAACATACGTAATTGCAGAGATGACTGTATTTATAATTTTTATTCAAAATCAGCGATGTAAGAATTACGATTTAGTATAAGAATCAGTACGAGATACATTGTAAAACATTATAAATAATAGTAAAATATTTTTTTTTCACTTTTTGACCTTCTGGTTTCAAAATCGGCGTTATTCGAATCGGCGCAAATTGAACTGGTGCAAATCGAGGGCTACCTATATTATTTGCCCTAAAAACATTTGGTACCATACTATACATACCAGGAAAGTGCATTGCCTTTTCTGGAAATGACTTTCTTGGTCAGTACTTTAATTCTCGTGGTACTTTAATTTCTTTCTTTTTATTGGACCCCCCCCAACCATTTCTGCATTCCTTCTGCAGTTTTTTAATAGTACATTGGAAAACTATGACACTTAGGTTTCAGAGTAATTTAGTATGCAGATATCAAAAATGTTGAAGCAGTCTGGTATGTTGATGGCAGGCAAAGTGTGGTTGCCCTTATGGAGAGAGATTGGTGGAACCTGAAAACCAGACTTGTCAGGCAGACCCTAACGCAGAACCTCCAGTACAAGCTTGTCCCAATACTTGGGACTTCACATGTAACAATCAGCGCTGCATACCGAAAGCGTGGGTCTGTGATGGTGATGATGACTGTCTTGACAACTCGGATGAAGAACAAAACTGCACTAGTAAGTAACATCAACAGATATCCTCATAGAGAAAAAATAGAACAATTTTATCCTCAAAGAAGACCCATATCAAGGCTTATTTAATAATTGTCATAACAGTAGGGTGGAAATGATTGATGATTAGTTCTATTCAGTATTTAAAATCTGAGTTCAAACTGACAGGACTGGGATTGACTTCCTTGGTACAGTGGTCCCAAATGGATCTATTATGTAGCTTTGTTGTTGTTGTTTTGTTGATGATAACAGACAAGTAACATTTGTGGATTGATTGCTGGCAAGCAGAAAATGAAGTAAATTGAGAAAATTATGCCATAATGCCACTTAGTCCAGGACAGATTCCACATGTATTAGTTTTGAATTGAACATTAACATTTTCAGTGTTGGTTTTTATTTACAGATACATTCTGTTACTGTATTTCTGTTAATTCTTTCACTGCGAAACTCACAGTAATGTGACGTGTGGTGGCACTCATATTTTTGTAAGTTCAGATTGCTTTGCCCGGGAAGTGTAGGTCATCTGTTGACATCGTGTAGAAGCTTCTGCCAATAGTAAATATAATTTTTTCCATAAGATGTCACAAGATAACCTTGGCTCCTTTTAGACAAAAATAGATTGAAAAAGATAACATTAAAACATTTGCAGATTTTGATTGTTAGGGTGAATGTAAAGATGTTAAGCAGACTAAAATATAAAATAAAATTTAAAAAATACTTCCAGATTTGTTTACACAACCAAGTTATTTTATACTGACAAAAAATATGTGGTGAGAGCTAACATAATTTTAATTCCTGAAAAGTCACAAATAATTTGCATTGTGTGTTGGAAGTTGGTGAGATATTTTTCTGTTATTGATCTCCACTAACACCACATAAATATAGACAGGAAGGGCTACTTACAATTCAGTCAAATGTCTATTTTCATGCAACAAGCTTATGTCTATACTATAAATTGATGGAACTAAGCATTCATTTTATTTCATGTCATTAAGCAATGGGTGACATGATTTAGACTCAGTGGCCCATTTCTGGCCACTATATTTTACTGCATCTGTGCTGTCATGTTAATAAATTAGTTTAAAAATACTGAAATATTAGGATGTGATAAAGTAATTGTAAACAAGACATTTTGCATGCAGTATGGAAAGGCTTAAACTGTGAAAATAAAGTGATGACTTCCATAGATCAGTTAGTCAGTCATTGTCTTCTCACCATAAAGTCTCATGTTTAACCCCAGCATGAAAATGAATCAAATTAATGAACCTCTCTTGTGATTGTGCAGAACCTACGTGCGGATCAGGAGAGTTCAAGTGTACCACAGGGCGCTGCATTCCTGGCAGCTTTAAATGTGATTCTGAGAATGACTGTGGTGACTTCTCGGATGAGACCGGTTGTGTCAACGTGACCTGTGCACTTTCACAGTTCCGTTGTGAGAATGGGCGCTGTATCCCCGCGACCTGGAAATGCGACTCTGAGAATGACTGTGGTGATGGTTCGGATGAAGGGGACTTCTGCACAGAGAAAACATGTGCTTATTTCCAGGTACGGAATGAAATCCAACGTGATGGGTAAGCTGAGGTTGCTTTAAAATTGTGATTTCTTGGATTATGATACCATCTAGTCCTGGAAGTGTAAACCAACATTTCTGAGGAACTTGTCATCTCTGTCTTCAGGATAGAAATGAGTAGTGCTGGGAAATGAAACAGTAATATAGCAAGGTTGGAAGGATTGGCCAGAAGTTATAAATGAGGGAGAGATCAAGTCTTTTCTATGCCAAAGGGAAGCAAAAACATAAAAATAAAATAAGGTCCCCCTTAGGGCACCTATAAATGAAGGCCCTTATGAGAGCCACTGGAGAGGAATGCCATGTAAAAGGGAACTATGTACCCTGACATTGTTTCAAACCATCTTTTATTGCCGCATAATGCAAGTGAGGTGCCTGTTTATATTAGAATGGAACTTGATCATTATCGCTTTCCTGATGATCCAGTCCATGCATCTACATTTTTCAGTCAGGATACTGTTGTCATGTACCTAGATATAATTACCCAAATTTAGCCATGGCTGATTTCCCCAGATAATAAAAACAGTGGTGCTCCTTGACTCTGAATTTAATGAAATCTCGTATAAGATATAACCTGCTTGTTCAAAATAGAAAATACTGAGAATTTAATAAATATTTTGGTAGTTACATTGTCAATGTACATTTATATTTAGTATGATTATACTTGCGTAGTAGTTGATTTATAAGTTATTGTAGCATTGACCCTTTTGCTGTGTATTATTTTTTCATTATTTATAAAATTTTTGTACAACTTCAAATGATTTGAACTAGGTATCAGTACTATGCAGACCAACAAAAATGCATTTTCATAGCTCAGTGTGAGAAGTTGAATGATGCACTGAAAGGAGGTTATTCTTAATGTGGACTGAAGTAAAATGTTGTACTATGCTCTAATGGATGCCTTTTGACTTCTATCGAATATTGCAGCAGTAGGGTTAATCCAGCTTTTTCACTGCCATTTCTGTGTGAAGGCATTGATAAGCCTCATTTTAAGGACACAAGTTATCATAATAATACAAAACTTTATTTGTGCTGCAGTTCACGTGTCCCCGTTCAGGACATTGCATTCCTCAGTCCTGGGTTTGTGATGGAGACAATGACTGCTTTGACAACCAAGATGAGGAAGGCTGTCCACCCATCACATGCTCAGCCACTCAATTTAAGTGTTCTGATCTCAAGCAGTGCATTCAAGAGACCTACAAATGTGATGGCATTCCAGACTGCAATGATGGCAGTGATGAGAACGGCTGTCGTAAGTAGTAGGGACAGTTTTAAAAATTTCAAGGTGAATGAGGATGATGGTTATTATGGACAACCATAGAAATATAGCAGTTGCAAAAATAAGATCACCCAAATTGGGGGGGAAAATAATGAGATTCCAGTTATGAACACTTCAGCTGTGCTGATTAACTTTTATCATGTGGGTAAAGGTGATTTAAACCCCGTTATCTTGAGGCTGCCCATTGGACTTAACTTCGTGTTATGGTGTAGCAGTACGCTATGCAGTGCAAGTAGAGCTGGTCTGCACATGAGAAGTGATAAGGATAATTAAGGTTAAGTCTAAAGTAACATTGTGTAATTATCACAGTGAGAAAAACAAAAATAACATGAACAGTTGTGATAATGATTTTTATTTTACATAGAACCAGTTCATTCATCTTGTATAAAATTATTGGACAATGAATGGATGTTGATAACCATCAACAATTTATACAAACCTGTTTGTTTCAGCATCCTTAGCACCTGATCAATGTGATACAGAGAAACAGTTCCAATGCCAGTCATCAGGAATTTGTATCCCTCGACCATGGCTCTGTGATGGTACAGCTGACTGTGACGATAATACAGATGAGCCTGAATCTTGTGGAACAGTAGGTTCATATACAGAATGTTTTAAAAAATATGAACACCATTTAGACAGTCATTAATTGTGTAAAATGTATATACAGGTAGCCCTCGATTTGCGCTGGTTCAATTTGCGCCGATTCAGAATAACGCCGATTTTGAAACCAGCAAGTCAAAAAGTGAAAAAAATATATTTTATTATTATTTATAACGTTTTACAATGTATCTCGTACTGATTCTTATACTAAATCGTAATTCTTACATCGCTGATTTTGAATAAAAATTATAAATGCAGTCATCTCTCCAATTACATATGTTTCGTCAACGTGAATTTGCTCCAATCGGTAAAAGCTGTTTGTGAAATGCAAACTTTTGCATATGCGAGTTTGCTCTTATGCAGATTCATTCCTGGCGCTTTAAACTTTCAAAGGACTAATTTAATCTCTGCGGAGGTACAGGGGTTATTTTTACTACGCGATTTTCTATAGGTCGGCGTCTTACATGAATGCAACTATCGCATAACAGCGGAGATGACTGTACACATCAGTCACATGAAAGAATCACAGTCAATCGTGGGGACCAATGAATTGCTGATTGTAAGTGTATAAAATATATTCTTTAAATTCCCTTCATTTTATTTATGTTATTTCAGAGCTTTAAATGTAATGCCATTATATTACTCGTCATTGTTTGGGTGCTGGGAACGCGTGTCATTGACTTCCCATTGATTTACATTCTAAAAGAATTTCAATTTACTCCGGTTCGTCCAGGAATGCATCCCCGGCGTAAATCGAGGGCTACCTGTAGATGATATTGATATTCTGTTTAATATTGTTACCTTGATAATCAAACTTCTGGACATCATTTGATATTTGAACAAAATAAATTAATATGTAATTGTCTCTGAGAAATTGAGCAACGTGGCTGATCTGCAGAAAACAAGCATAAGAATATTCTGGAGATGAGCAGAACAGATGGGTTGAAGAAGCAAAGGAGAAACAACATTTGGGAAACTGACTCATCATCCAGGCTACAAGGGAATCCCAACTACTCCAGGCACTGAAACGGCTTCTCGGTGTCACTAGTCCACTAGTTTGAAGTTTGCATTATGAATGAGTCTAACAGTTTGATTTGGCTTATCAGTAGTGGAAAAGGGATGAGATAGAGGGGGAAAATTATGGGAATGCCGCATGGTGCAAGGGAAGGCAAAGTACCAGCTGATTCAGAAGACCATTACTGCTGAGCCAGAATGTATGGCTGATTTTATATTTGGACTTCATAGCCCATTAAATCTTGACATCTAATATATTCCTTATCATGCTGTAATTCCCATCAATATGTCTTGTTTCAGGTGGACTGCCAGGCAGGCTTCTTCAAATGTAACAGTTCTCAATGTATCTTCAAAGCATACATCTGTGATGGGAAGAATGACTGTATAGATGGTTCTGATGAGGATGATCGACATGCATGTGGACCACCACCTTTCAGGTATCAGAATATACATATAACATATTTACACCTGACTATGAGATGGTGAAAGCATAGCTACAAATTTGATGGAAATATTGTACTGTTAAAATACACGTGGCTAAGATTTTATCTGCAAGTTTAAATCTTTAATCAGGACAAGAGAAACTTTTAATTAACATGCATGAGTGGATCATTTTCTGATGACATAACATTACTAATGATGTTATCAAATTTGGTGCTTACAAACTGATACGCCTTATATGTGTGTGTTGGGCTTGAGATGAGGTAAAATTCACATTTTATATCCTGTGGAAACAATGCAAATATTACTATGAACCATGTACATAAAATAGTATTCTGCTTGCAAGTAATACAGATCAGTGACATCTGTTCAGTTGGATTAAAGTCGGAAAATGTTGATAACTTCTGTGGCTTAATAGTGTGTGTTACTGATCTGCAGTAAAGCCAGTCAGTCTTCAATCAGGTTAGCCAGATATCTTGTCAAAATTCGAGCGAGATACCTCCCAAACACAAGTCTAGGGCAATAGTGCTACAAATATTTCCTCATTATCTGTACTGTACTTTATATAGGCATTAATTTAATAACCAGTATGTTTTTATATTGGTTGTGGTCTTCTGAATGGTTGACACCATGCAATCTTTAGTTGGGTATGATTACTTTGGAGAAATTGACATATCCACTGCTGTGAGAAATTCAAATCTAAGTATAGTTTTATGGTTGCTAGTACAGAATTAAATTTTACACATTGGACTTCTCTTGTATGCAGTTAGAATCACACAATTTACTCACACCGTTAAATATAATGCTCCGGATTAGATTGTGTGCTTCTTGTATTACAGTTGCGATTCAGGTGAATGGCAGTGTCCGGGAGTTACGGAGCGTTGTGTGAACCTCACCAAGGTTTGTGATGGGAAACTTGATTGTCCAAATGGTGCTGATGAAGGAGAAGGCTGTGACCTTGATGAATGTGAACACCAAGAAGGACTGTGTTCCAACAAATGCAAACAGACCCCATCGGTAAGTTTTCACATGTCTTCTTGTTCTTTATTCTTTTACAGAGATGATATTTTCAGTGGCTACAGTTTTTTATAATAAGAGCTGTAACTAATAAAAGGAAGTATGTATTTTGATGTCGGTAATCTGTCTGCCAGATATGATGATTGAAATTTATTTCCATATTGCAGGGAGCCATTTGCACATGTCCACATGGAGAGGTATTGAGGAATGATTCACTTGAATGTGAGGATATGAATGAATGTGAGCCTCCTGGTCGCTGTTCGCAGCAGTGCACAAACACGAAAGGCAACTACTACTGCAGTTGTGTTCCTGGATATACTCTAGAACCGAATAAACACACCTGCAAGGCCATCAGTAAGAACAGTTTAATTTTAATTTCTAATTCCTCCAGTTATAGTGTATTAATCATTCTGGTCTCTGCCTGCTTGTTGTACATTCAGTGTTTTGAATGTATTGTTATCTTATTTCCTGATGCTTTCCATTTCTCTTTTCTCATAGTGTGGTATAATGCAGTTATCTTTGTTCTGTGAGAATGGCAGTGAAGTCTGTTCTCAGTTTACTCAGTTGGAAAAGGTTTTGAATTTTGCATGCTGAACACAATTCTTGAATCTCTGTTTTGTGTAGTTAAGTGTTGAAATGTTCTTATTGTTTTGGATTTAGGAGATCAGAGCTCATTCTCACCTGCATAGCTCAGTATATCCAGTTTATGTAACATTTATTTATTTTATGTCCTTGAAATCAAGAGCAATATCGCTTTAAAATACATTTTGATTGATGCTACCCTCACTTGTTTCCCATTCATACACATTCTAGGCTGGTATATAGAATTCTTAGTAGTGTTATCACCTGCAGAGTTTATTTTATGTGTAATGGGATGACAGGATGATAATGTGCATATGAATGAAAATGATGGGGAAAGATGTGGCCATGATCTGTTTCAAGACATTGGGCTGGTGTTTGTCATGATCTTCTTCTTCTTCTTCTTCTTCTATGGCTCTCTAGTCCGTATTCGGTCCATGGCCTCCTCAAGTCAAACAAGGTGTTATATGGTGTCAAGCACTGCTATATAACAGATTCAGACTACTTACTTTTTAATAACATTCAGTTACATTACTACATGAGCTGTCATATTCATTATAACATCATATTACTGATTGTATTTTTCAGTTTTGTAGTAAAGGTGTGAAATTATTTTCTTTGAATAGACCACAGTGCAGCATTCCTCATCATTTCAAATCGTCATTCCATCTTGGTGGCTGACCTCAAAGAACAGGGACTTGAGAGAGTCCCAATCATTGTTGAAAATGTTGTAGCAACAGCTTCTAATATGCACACTGGCACCATCTTTTGGTCAGACATGAAGTTGAAGAAGATTTCCCGGTTAGACAGAGGAAGTGAAGTACAAGAAGTAAGTTCCACTCACTGTAGTTCCATTTTTGATGTTGCTAAATGTTTTTAATAGACACTATGTGAGGGCATTATTTTGACCTAAGATGGAGAGTGTATCAGGAGGAAGTTACATAATACGAAACTTCTTAATTTGTGCTCTTGACTAAGTAGATTAGGGTGAGCAAATCAAGGAGGATAAGATGGGTGAGACATGTAGTGTGCTTGAGAGCTATGAGAATGCACACAGAATTTTAACCAGAAAACCTTAAGGGTAGAGACCACTTGGGAGAAAGATGTAGGCAGTTGGATAGCATTGAAATATCTTAAAAGAAATGGAATATGAGGGTTTGGAATGGATACATCTGGTTAAGGATAGAGACCAGGGGTGGGCTCTTATGAACACTGTAATGTACTCATGGGTTCCATAAATGACAGGGATTTCTTGACAAGTTGACCAATATTAAGAACATATTACTTATTAGTGTAAAGCCATTATTTTTGTGCGTGTTCTGCTGTTTAAAATTTAAGATTAATTTGAGGTATAATGATTAAGGTTTGCAAAATGAGAAATCATATTCATCGTGCCTGAGATCTGGGGCATAATTCAATCTGGCACCACATGTCAGTGGTTTGGGCTATGCTTTCTCCTCCAGCCTGTTTCTCGTTGCAGTCACTTTGTGTCTGAATATTGACAAATATGCAGTCATGTTACATTTCTTTTCACCATTAGTTAAAGGGTTAAGAACGATTGAACTATATGAGTAGACAATATCAAAATGCTGTCTGCTTATTTGTCTTTATATTCAAAGTTTAATTAAATATTATAAGTAACCATTACATTATTTAAATTGAGATTAGAGTTTTTGATTGCTTTAGGTGATATCAAATGGTTTGGATCTAGTTGAGGGACTGGCATATGATTGGATTGGAGGAAACTTATACTGGTTGGATTCAAGACTCAATACAATAGAAGTTGCCAAGGAAAATGGTCTCAACAGAATGGTTCTGCTTAAGGAGAACATAACACAGCCAAGAGGAATGGCTCTAGACCCTAGCAAGGGGTGAGTTCTGTATATAAACATGCTTTTCTTTGTAAATTCTTCATGCATTTTGTACATCAAACACTTGCCTTTAGAGTAGCTGTGTAACCTCTTCAGAACATGGCTGTGAGCCTATGTAATGCTTGATGTATTGCTAGATAAATGTATGCCTTAGAGAATAGGTGTATGTTTTCAAGATACTTTAGATTATAAATTGTTTCACCCCTGTGATCAGTGCATCCTTGGTAGCTGTTTTGCTTACCCACCCCTGGGCACTGTCTTGAATCTGTTATTTGTCAACATTCCTTACTAGTTGCAAGGAACTCTGTCTCAACCCAGGCTATTAAACCTTATCTGGGACATTTCTTTTCTTTTTGGACTTATTCACTGTCTGTTTTTAAGTCTTAAGAAATCTTAAAAAATTGGTACATTCTGAAGGATGGGTCTTTCTTCAGCTTCATGTAAAATAGGGTGAGATACCTATTTTGTTGGATCCAGTATTCCTGATCTATGGAGACATTTTGAAATAGCAATGGATAAAGTCCAAAACATAGAAAGTAATAGTACAATACCACTGTTAGAGACATTCGGAGAAGAGACATCTCTTTTAATTAGTCTACATTCCATCTGGATAGTTTGAACATTAACAGTTTAAATTAGTTTATTTCAGAATGCAAACATGTACTGTGACGATGATTTTTACTTTCAGAGCTCGGTGGCTATTTTGGACTGACTGGGGAGAGAACCCCCGTATTGAGCGGGTTGGAATGGATGGAACCAACCGTAGTGTCATCATCAGTACCAAAATTTACTGGCCAAATGGTCTCACCTTAGATATTGCAAACAAACGTGTATACTTTGCAGATTCAAAGCTGGATTTTATTGACTTCTGCTATTACAATGGCTCAGGACGTCAACAAGTTCTAGCTGGTAGTCATTACCTGCTGCATCCACACTCACTTACACTATTTGAGGACACAATGTACTGGACTGATCGGCAGTTGAACCGTGTGTTGTCGGCACACAAGTTCCGTGGGCAGAATCAGACTGTGGTGTCACATCTTATATCTCAGCCACTTAGCATCCATGTACATCATCCTTCCTTGCAACCTAAATCTAATGGAAACAATCCCTGTGAAGGAGCTCCATGCTCACAGCTTTGTCTTCTGTCTCCATCTGCGTCTTATGGTTACACCTGTAAGTGTAAACCTGGCTATCGCATCCAGCCTGATGGGAAATGCATTGTAGGTGAGAGTCAAAAATTTGTTGGAACCTACTTAAATTATAATTATCTTACAATTAATTTGAAGACAGTAATTGGAGATACAGTCAGCTGAGATGATACATACTCATAAGAGGAAAGAAAGGTAAATTTTTAGTATGCTTGCACCTATGTGTGGTTGTGTGTATGTTTTATAATGTGCAGTGATTAATATGAAATGAATAATAAAAAAAGCAAAACAGATGAACTTTAGAAGGAATAATGCAACAAAGGATTAAAGGAGCAAATTAAGCCATGCTGTTTGATGTTGACTGGTGATAATTCATTCCCTGGTGCAAATCTTTTTTTTTTATTCAGGTTGGTGTGTTTTTGTTGTAGCAAAAGTTAATTGTGCTTGACAGAAGTGATGTAATTGATTTGTTAGTCAAACATTCTTATAATGAGAAGTTGCTGTATTGTGCATTGAGCCATCTTTTAATAGGTATGTTAATTCCTTGTTAGAGGAAACTAGCCTCTGAACAGCTGCCAGATTGGATTGTGACAGGTCTAGCAGAACATGCTTTTTTGTCAGCTCAGCATGTTCATAATCACTAAGTTTGAAACTGTAGAGATAGTAGCAAGCTTCTCCCTTTAGATATCATTTGCAAAATTTGTTTATTGATGCTCAGAACTTTGTATTGTGATTGTTTTATTAATTATTCAGCACTTGCTAATAGAAGTTTACTTTGATGTGTCAACAGAGGAAGTACCATTCTTGATGGTGATGCGTGCATCTCAGGTCATTGACGTGAGCTTGACTCCTGGTGATAAGACACGCGGCTTCCTCACACCAATTGTAGGAATTGAAGGTGGAATTCACTTAGACTTTGATCGCAAGAAGCAGATATTGTTCTGGGTTGAAGGCAAGGATGATGATGATGAGAATGTAAGGAGTATTTGCAATACATTTCTACCTAATGCTGATACTTCTTTTAATAACAATAACAATAATAATATACTCCTAATGCAATAGGCAGTGCTGGACTGTATGAGTGTGACATTTGTGAGATGCAGAAAAAATTGAAATTAAGTTCTCATGGTTGCAACTGTGGCAGCAAGAAATGTAAATGAGGCTATGGTAGTACCTATGGTGGGGTTTAGTTGAGTCAGTGTTTGACAGGAATCTGGCTTTAGTTGCCATGTATATGTTTTCACATTTAATTTATATAATATCCCAGCTTGCCTATTTCAGCCCTCTTAGGCACGTTTTTCAGGCATCTACAATTTATATTCTTCTCTAAAAAGAAGAGATTATGTTTCACAACTATACAAAACAGCTAGTACAATTGTTTCATATAATTCTCTAAAGCTGTTTTTAAGGGCTCTACTGCTAAAAACTTTTTCCGCATCCTATTGTCATCTGACTGTCTTATGGATCCATGGAATGTAAATATATTATTATTATTATTATTATTAGAGGGGAAAATCTCTTAAGTGAGAGAGATAAATTTGAATCTCCTTTACTCTGTCATGCTTTGATTTATTGCTTAGGCATAATTATTAAACTGAAAGAGATTCGAACATATTATTTTAACAGAAGGCTTTTTAAATCACCAACTGAACTATACAGATATGTGACTACATTGGTATATAGTACTTTTATGACATCATCAAATTAATTCTAAACCCTATGGATTTTATTCAGTTTTCTGAATAACATTGAGTTTTTCTTTCATTGTATTCTAGTTCTGTTACTGACTGCAGTTATAGTGATAAAGGAGACACAAAACCAAGGGGAAACTTCATTCTTGATTGAGAACAACAAAGTTATCAGCTTATTCAATTGAATAGAACTATATCACATTTGGACATGTTTGTTTGTTTGCTTGGTGCACTGTGTAGGTCATTATTTCAACTGTGCTGAAAATGACCTAGTACTGAAAACAGATGCATTCCAACCCTGTATATATGTTGTAGCGCAGTTTAACAATAATGAACTTTTCAGATAATTTCATTTAATTGTATGGAATTTTGTTTATTTATGAGATATTCACTCTGGACATGCAGTCTGTCTCAATTCTACTTTGAATTCCATAAATATGAGAAGCAGTATATGTTGTATTATCATCACATTTTGCTGTAGATCAGTTTCCTGTGTCAAAAGTTCTATTATAGAGACTAAACTTCTATGAGACTGCATAGCAATAGAACCCAGAAAATCACAAGTGACAGCTTCTGTCTTGTTCACAGTGCACAATTTATGTAAGTCCATATGGAGGTGGAAACAAGACTTCATTCCTAGGAAATGGAGACTCTGGTATAGTTGGGGCACCATACACTATAGCATTTGATTGGTTGGGCCGCAATCTGTATATTGGCAACCGAATGGCATCAAATTTTGAAGCTGTGAAAGTAGATGGGAAGGTGAAACATCGGACAATTATCCTAGCCAATGATGGCAACAAAACCTCTGTTGCTAAACCCAAATCCATGTGTCTGGATCCTTTGGATGGGTGAGTGTTACTTTTCAGGCTTTAATTCCATATAATTAATGATCAGTCCCTGATGATGCATGTAGTGACAGTCTTGAGAATATAAGACTTAAGGCTTTCGCGATGACTAAATGCAATGAAATCTTCTCAGGCAACAAGCTGCATCAAAATGGAATTGTAGTCCAACGTTTCAGAGACACTATCTGTCTCCATCTTCAGGGAATGTGAAGGGTGACTGAAGTTTGCTGTTATATGTACCAAAAATGATGTCCTTCCATGTATGGCCTTTGGCGAATGAGGAATGTGGATGCACCCATCTGCTGCGTGTCTGTATGAATAGTACCAAGATGGGTCTGTCCTCATTCCCTATTGGCCAAAGGTCATACATGAAAGGACACCATTTTTGGTTCAGATGATGGAGGCAGAGACTTTCTCTGAAATGTCAGTTTTATTCCATATTGATCTCTCAAGAAGACTTCATTGCTTTGATATTTGGTACTGATTTTCATTAAACACAATTATGTTACAGGTTGTCTGTGATATATTTGTTGTACACAATGTTTTGATAGTTGTTTTGGCTCTCTGCTCATTAGTTTATACCCTATTGACATACGTTTTTTATTATTTCAGTGGAAGGCTTATATAAATGTAATAAGGAACCTTCAGGTTCCATGAAAGTGGGAAATTTTAAAAATATTTCAGGCTTTCAAGGTGGTTTAGTGCTGCCTTGGATTCTATTACTGGGTGATGACACCAAAGGAAATTTTTTAAGACGGAAAAAATACCTATTTTGAATATGGATTTGATTAAGAAAGATTATCCAGAAATGTAATCCACATAATTAATATTTTCCCCAGCTGAACAACTCTGCCTTGTATTTGTCTTTCTTTGAATAGTAAGTCTGAGTCTGATTATTCTATAATGTTTTCTGATATTACTATACGCACTCATGGACTTTGTTGTTTGATGCAGGAAGCTGTACTGGATGGATGAAGGAGGATACGGAGTTCCAGCCAAGGTTGGAAAAGTGAACATGAATGGATCAAACCCAATCATATTACTGGAAGACATAGAACGACCAGAAGCTATAACCATAGATCTATACACCAAGCTTCTGTACTTCAGTGTACAGTACCCAAGTTTTGTAAGTTAATTATTGTGTATCTCTGCTCATAGTGTTTCCAGGAAAATTCCTGAATATTAATTGTGATTTGGAAATGCAGTTTCTTCCGAAGTTCCTAATGGGTTTCTGTTGCAGATTAAAGTGATGGATGTGAATGGAGGTAATGTGATCACCCTACTGTCAGAGTCCAACAATGTTGCACACCCCAAAGCACTTGCAGTCCTGGACAGTCGACTCTATTACTTGGATCCATCTTATGAAAAGATTGAGAGGGTTGACTTGCCTAAAGGAGACAATCCAAAGTTACTCATAGACAACGAAGCTGATCTCAAGACCTTCACAATTTTCAGAAAGAGACCAAGTGAGTTTTGAGATACTTAAACACATCCATACAATCAGTACTTCTTTAGTATACTTCCCTTATTTTACAAGGAAAAATATGTTTATGGTATCATAATGTCCATATGTTCATGTGTCTGTCCACAGAAGGACTAAACTGACAGATTTTTATCGCACTTGTTATGCATGTAATTTCATTGAAGGCTACTCATTCATAAACTTTTTTATTTTGTGAATTTTAGGTACCAATATAGCAGCCATGTGTGAACTCCAGACATAGAAGTGGCAGTATGCTATGAATTATAGAATTCTGTAATAATGTAATCTTGTAAAAAGTATAACTTTGTTTAAAGTAATTCTTTTGTAAAATGCAGTGCAGCAACGTAACAGCCACACGAAACTTGCATTTAGCTTTCTGTTTGATGACAAATATTAAACAATTGATGCTACCATGTGAAATTTTGTATAAAGATAAATTATAAAAATGTGAACTGATTTTACATAAACAACTTTTTATACATTAAAAAATAAACAATACAAGATTTGGGGTTGGTTGTGTCTGACAAATTCAGTATAATGAGAATCTGTATGACTGAATATTATATTGAAAAATTAATCACTGAATTTTATAATTATTAATTTATAATTTCTAGCATCAGTGTATAAAAGAGCCTGAGCTATTTGTGTGTATAATTGTAGTGGGGAAATGTCTTAAAACAGCATAACATTCAGATGTATCTTGGAATTACGTTACGTGTGTCGGGGTCAGTGACTGTGGCTGGGGATCATGTAGAGTGGTTAACTTCAATGTTAACAGTGTTTGTTTAGTAAGGATTTGTCTATGCATTACTATCTTTCATTTTCCCTATGCCTTTGTAAGCAGTCATAGTTTACAATAAAATGTAGAAGAGTGCTAAGATTGTTTCTGCCATGATTTGGAGCAGTCTAGTGTTCTGCTAGTTTATAACAGTGACAAGGTAAAGAAGTTGCTGTTGATCTGTGTTAGATTCTCCTTGATTTTATTGTTGAACGACTTCTTCATTCCTCCCCAGCTACAAATCATCCATGCATGAACAACAATGGTGGTTGTGAACAGCTGTGCATACCACATGAGGCTAGCACACGAGTATGCAGCTGTTCTATTGGTTACAAGAAGGAGAATGAAGTTACTTGTACTGCCTACAAGACATTTGCTGTTGTGTCTCAATTAGACATCACCCGTGGCTACAGCCTTAAGGACTCTGCAGAAGCGATGGTGCCCATCACAGGTCCAGGTATGAATCTCTCCAAGATGTGTGAAAATACAAATCAGGGCTTTAGGTGTGAAATAGATAATACAGTTAGCAGATAAGGTTAATTGGTAAAGCTTTTGAAATTTTGGAACTTTCAGTTAAGTCTTATCAGGGTATCAATTATTTGGATTGAGGTCTTCTGTAATTTCTGTCAGTATCTGTAGGATGTTAACTTAAGATAACCCACAGCCATACTTTCCATTTTTTCAGTTTTACCAACTATTATCATCTTGTCTTTTTGTTTCTAAAACATGAGATTAAACTATACAAAACTAAGTTGAATCTAAGATAGATTTATCCAGAGAGACTGAGGAGACCCATTAAAAATTGACCACCATGATTTCTGGTTTTAAGATTTGAATTTGCAATGTTCTGAATCTGAAGCAGGAGTATTACCACTTGACAGCAACTTTTGATCCTTCCATATTATTTGAATAAACATTGTTAAATAGTCTAAGAACCGTACAGCACATATTAACTGCCAGCTTTTCTTCCCAGGTCACCATATTCTTCATGTCGATGTGCATTATGCACAAAACTGGATCTACTGGGTTGAGTTTAACCGAGGAGTATGGAATGGCATTTTCCGTATTAGACCAAATGGCACTGAACTCCAGCCAATAATTAAGGATGGTATTGGGTCAAATGGGATTCGTGGGATAACCATTGACTGGATTGCAGGAAACCTGTATTTTACCAATGTGTTCCCTCATGAAAACTATCTCGAGGTATGCTGGCTTGATGGTTCCAATAGAATGGTGCTTGTTAAGACCACTACAGATGCACCACGAGAACTTGCTGTCAACCCTGTTAAGAGGTAAGTAATATATTACCTAAGAACAAGATGTGTGTGTGTGTGTGTATATAACCACAATTATACCATAAACCATGTTGAGTGGTTTCTAAAGCGATCCACCTTCAGGATGTGTAATTAGGATATTTCCTCTACATATGGAAGGTCGGTGTGATCAGACAGAGATGGCTTCCAGCTTGAGGCTTGAATGCAGTATTAATGACTCCCCGCTGTAATGAGTGGAAATATGTATTCCAAATTAGGGTAAAAATGTTTTCCATATACTTTATAATTTTTATATTCCTTCCTCATTGACCTCAGTGTTTATATTGCAGATTAACTCTGTTGTAAATGTAATCCCATTACAGATACCACACTACATTTTCATATTTTATTGTAAAATGTAAAAAAGAAAAAAGAACCAGCAATACATGAAAAATTTAAAGGATATGTATCACAAATATACTTACATATTCTGTATGTGTAATTTTTTGTATGTGGATCATGATTTTCTGATTTTGGTGTTGTATGTGCTTACTGACATTTTGGAGCAACATTGATACCCATGTACAAAACTATATAATGTCACAGACCAGAAAACCACTGTCAACATTTACACCGCTGTAAAAACCTCAAATGTCATGTACTTTTTTATATGTGGACAAATACAAAAAACATGACATGACAGTGTGAAACTTTGTTGCTGGGCAAATTCAGGATTCTGAATCTGTGCTGGAAGAAATTATTGATAGAACTGGGTCACTTTGCATTTAAGAACTATTAATTTACACTACTTGTTAAGTTTATCATGTAGATTAAAGTTTTTGAAGGAATGTAGTTATCATAAATTCTTCCCAGGATTTCAAATTTGATTAATAGCATGCAGGAAATCATACTATAGACATTTTGATTAATGCTGTGCCAGTCCAAGTTCATAGTTCGACCCCCGAACGGGCTGAAACCTTGACATGAAAGGTAAACCAGGCTTTGGCATGTTAATCTGGTTTTTATATATATATATTAAAAAAACGAAGGTGTATTTAGATGATTTTTCGAACGTCTTTCTTCATCTAAATTTGACCGAGTTATTAATTTTGGCTTAAACATATTAAGTTGAAAGAATATGGCCACACGCAGTTGCTTGGGCGCTTCCCTTCTCGACATTCCTTCTGTCTGGAGGGAGCCTGGCGTAAACAAAGGGCCAGATGTAAACAAAACATACTTAAGCCACCCCACACAGAGAATGCACCCTTTCCAGATGTGAGGTGAAGACTGCATTACGACCATCGCTTTACTGCGACGGACCAATTTAATTTGAATACGGCTTTTTTTTTTTTTGGGTTCCTGCCGCTGTCAGGGAACGAATCAAATCGCCACATCGAATTCAAATTCAATAACAAATTACGTAATGCAGTGGTATTAAAAAGAGTGACTGTGGTTGCGGGGACCTCTCTGGCACCCTTGCAATCTCGGAAGTTTGGAAGTTTTCTTACCCTTGGAAGTCGCTCAGCTTTTAGGCTCTCAAGTTTTCGATCTGCAGGTCGTGCAGACCGTGTTCCACTTACATAAATTTCTTCATACGACAGCCGATTCATTGCTCTGCCCAGTGTAAACTGTAATTGGTCTCTATTGTCTTAACAGACAATAAAGTTGACAACTTCCAGCTCACCAGTGGCGTTTATTGATATTCGAGGCCCATCCCCACGTAAAACATCAACCCTACCCATACCTTCCCCCGTATATTCCCTGAGAAGCGGAGTTCCATGCTCACCGACCTAAATCCCCGCCCACTATCAAATTATCTAAAATTCCCTGGCGCACTTACTAAAAAGAGTCGAAGCTGCAACCGCACGAGCGCCTGGCACGTCACTGGGTTTGACCCGTGACTTCAACTAAACAAACATCAAAGCGAGAATGTGGAAGGACGGTTGCGGTGCACTGTTGTAAAATACCTGGAATTTTTGTTTTCAGGTACCTTTACTGGATTGACTATGGACAGTACCCAAGAATAGGAAAAGCATTCTTAGATGGCACTGGCTGGCAGCCAATGGTGACCTCTGGAATCAGTAACCCTCGTGATTTAACTGTTGATATGTTGACACATGAAGTATACTGGGTTGACTCCAAGCTGGACATGATCCAGAAAGTGTCCTTTACTGGTGGAAACAGACAAGTATGAATATTTCTGTAACTATTGATTACTTTTTATGATTAGGAAGAACATCTCCTATAGAGAATTCTACTTTTCATTCAGTAACTGTCATACTCCAAGTCTGAATAAATTTTTGTATGTCTGTTTCTTCCTCCTCCTTACTTTTATTATGGATATACATGCATCTAAAGTATTATGCTTTTCCCAAGTGTAATAACCCTTATTTTTATTATCATCTTAAATTTTGCAGGTGATTCGCCGCAATTTACCAAATCCAATGGGTATTGCTGTACATAAGAGTGATGTTTATTGGGTGGATCGTAACCTGGCTTCAGTGTTCAAAGCTTCAAAATTGGCTGGCAACACTTCTCTTCCCTCCTCAGTGCGAACAAACTTGCCTCGACTGCGTGATATTGCCATTTTTGATGTGGCAAACCAGCCTCTGGATGAACAAAACCCTTGTATGCAGTTGGGGAATGGTGGATGTGACCAGCTATGCTTTTCTTTTCCATCAGAATTTACCAGAACTGAGAAGCCACAGTATCGTTGTGCTTGTGCAACTGGAGAGCTGATAAATACGTCAAGTGTTGGTGATGGACGGAAGTGTGACTCAGTAAATGAGTTCCTCGTGTTCTCTACTCGCACCGAGATAAGATCTGTAAATCTTGACCCACACTCTACCAGTTTACCCTTCAAACCAGTAGTAAGTGGACATAGTTTTGTTTACTATCTACAGTTTGTTTCTGCATTTTTTTATCTTACTATTTCTTTTAGCTTTCAAATGGTGTAATTAATACTAACTCAGTCAGTAGCTCAGTCAGTATAGTGACTAGCTACGGGCTGGACGGCCGGGGTTCGATCCCCGACGGGGGCAGAGGATTTTTCCTCTAGCCTCTGCGTCCAGACCGGCTCTGGGGTCCACCCAGCCTCCTCTACAATGGGTACCGGGGTCCTTTCCCGGGAGTAAAGCCGGCCGGGGCGTGATGCTGACCACTCACCCCCATCTAGTGCCAAGGCCAAGGAAAAGAGGAGCTATACCTCCTCTCACCCCAAGCGCCTTCATGGCCTATAGTGGGACAAACTTTACTTTTTTTTTTACAAAGGGGCATGCTGTACAGGTTTTTAAAAAATTTCTACATGCCTCTTGCTATCTTTGTTATAGGATACTCTTTACTTGTCTAATTACATTAGCTTGTGGACAAAACATACCAATGAATAGCCATTAATTTGTCACCCAAATACCAACGTGGCAGTTTAAGTTCCTAACTGCAATGCCATAAACAAGTACGGAGGAGGAGATAAAGCCATATGAATTCTTAATATAATGTAAAATTAAAACATGGCTTCTTCCACACCTAGTTAAGGTGCACAATAAAAATGATCCTGCTATGAAGAATTAACAGTTTAATGGTTATGATGATGCGTATGCTGGACAACAGTGAGAAAAATGGTCATTGCACATGCTACTCTTTATTTCAAGAGACTGCGAGAATTGGTTTCTTAATGGGTGTTAGAGAAGTGGGTTCTGAAAGTGGAATTAAATTTATCTCAGAATAGGGCCTGTTGATTGGCAGTTGTTGTGATGTTGATGAACCTTCAAGTTCCATAACAATAAAGAATCATTTGATGAGCAGCATAATTATTTTCTACTTAAGGAAGACCATGTTTTATGAAGATACTTCTTTCTTTTGCAGTATTATGGTGTCTTGTTTTCTTTACAGGGAAATCTGACAAATGTTGTTGGGGTAGACTTTGATTATGCAGATCATAAGCTGCTGTTCACTCAGATAAGACCATGGGCACGCATTGCATGGATGTCCAGCTCAGATCCCAGCTCCCGCGATGCTCAGAACATTATCAACCGTGGTATAAACCCTGAGGGAATTGCTTATGACTGGACACAGAAGAAGGTATACTGGACAGATTCATCCAACAATAGCATCTATGCCATGAACTTGGATGGCACAGATCTGGTAATGATTGCTCGAGTGGAGCGTCCAAGAGCCATTGTGGTGGATCCGTGCAATGGGTGAGTTATTGGTTATGTTTATACTATGCTTGATTGTACCCCTTTTAATCATCTGTGCCTGGAGGAGCCATCCTGCTTGCCCTGTCCTAAATCTGACATTGTCCACATGTGGGCAGAGAAATGGTTAATACTAAACTGTATAGTAATTTGGATGTTATGAACATAATACATTTTTCTTTTAGGTCTTATTACGTTGCTATTTTCATTCTAATATTTTATGTGATTTAATCCCCTAATGTATGTGTTCCTAATTCTATCTCTCCCGGTTTTTCCTAGTATTTGATAGTGGTAACTAATGAACCAGTCAAGCTGGGCATATGAAATGTTGTATAGAGATTAATCATAAACATAGTTTCAGATTTTGAATGTAATACTTTTTGTATATTAAACATCACTAATATGGTGATGCTGCAAATCTTTCAGGTTATATCTGACAGATTTAATGTAATTAGGATCTGTGTTGCTGGAATGTATGCATAGACATGGAAACATTTATACATGGAAATACAACATTTCACTGATTTGCATTTTGTGGGTAACATAAAATAATACTTTACAAGTGTTTTGTCATTTATACAGGTCCATTAGTAGTATTAAAATTGTGAAATAGATGGGCATTTATGATTATTGCCTGCCTCCAATATTTGGCATGCAGTTTTTATATAAGTAACAAATGGTGATGTGTGTTACATTTTAGGTCACTGTACTACACAGATTGGGGCCGTTTTGGAACATCGGGTCGAATATTCAGAACAACAATGGCTGGTTCTCTGAAAAAGGCTATTGTGGATAAAGATCTGTCACAACCAAGTGGTCTGGCTATTGACTATGAAGACAGGATGCTGTATTGGACAGATGCTGTGAGAGAGAAGATTGAGAGAGCCACAATGAATGGAAATAACAGAGAGGTAATCAGAAACATTACAGAGGTTGTTAGAATTAGATTCAGCACAATATTCACATTTCCAATGTTGATACAGCAGAGCAATGTGTTTTGTCTACTTTGGGTTAGCCATTATAAGTACCTGGGATTGTAGAATTTAGTTTTCAGAGTGAATTAATATAATTTTTACAGTGGCTATATAATATAAGTCCTGCAGTGAAATAATTTTAAGATGATTTTAACAAGAAATTGTTTCAGGCTTTTGATTCCTCTGTGCTTTAGTCCTGTGTTACATAGTTCACTCATGTTTCTCCATTTACTTAGGTCTTAATATCTGCAACCATCTACCCATTTGCAATCACTGTTTATGGTATCTACATCTACTGGACAGACTTGCAACTACGCGGGGTTTACCGAGCTGAGAAACACACAGGTGCCAACATGATAGAAATGGTGAAACGTTTAGAAGATTCTCCAAGAGACATACATGTTTTCTCAGATTTGCGACAGAAATGTCAGGTCAATCCATGCCACATTAACAATGGAGGTTGTGCACAATCTTGTCATCCAGGACCCAATGGCACAGTAAGTCAGCATACATTTCATGAACTGAAACCATATATGTTTGATTTAAGAATATCTGAGGTAGTTTCTGTGAAACTTCTCCATTCTTCCACTAATTATCTGTTTTTTGCATCTGTGTACTCTTTGTCATGCTATGTTTTATATATTTAACCTTAATTGCTGTCTCTGCCTTTCCTCTATTTCCCCAATGATGTTTATTTGCCATCATACATTTGGATGCTCTGAAAGATCCAGTTGTCATCCATACATAACTCATGTCCATATCACAGGATCCCTAATTTGATCAAACTTTCCCATAGTGTAACTTGCTGTCTTCTGGGCTGTAACCTTGAACATGAAGGTGGTATGTTGCTCTGAAATGTTTATAGTCACATATAGGTCTACATGATGTTACAACCAAAATTATGACAATTGACATATTACTGCTGTGAGAACCCAAAATTGTGGCTGTCTTTCAAGAATTGTTTATGTTTGGTTTATGATGCCTTGGATTATTATGTAACTGACTTTCTTATCTCTTATCCATTATAAGATAAATTAACTTTGTGGGCATAGGAGCAGCATAATGAAGTACCTGATTTAGGCCCTTCTTGATTCCCTTGGATGTTCTTGTTCTTTTAACAAGCCCACAATATTTCTTGTAATCAAATGAGTACAAATCCCCCTGGTGTTGTGTTCCTACAGGCAGAGTGTAGGTGTAATGACAGTATGAAACTGGTGAATGAGAACCGCATGTGCGTGGCCAAGAACCTTACATGTGAAGCCAACAAGTTCGTTTGTCGCAATGGCAAGTGCATCTCGCGCATGTGGGCATGTGATGGTGATGATGACTGTGGAGACAATACTGATGAAGATGAACAATACTGCAGTAAGTAGAGCGTTTGGATGTTCAGGGTACACGATTGTTTGCATACAAGCGACTGAGTTATTTTATTAAACATACATATATGAGTTAAGCACTCTGGATTCTTAGATTACTCCTAGATTATTAATGGTACTGTTTCAACCGCAGAGTTAACATAGTACTAAATGATATGAAATTGAGGACATGGTTAAGAAAATCTATGAAAATCATTAGGATGTGTGGTAACATTTTCAAAGCTAGAACCTGGCACCTCCGAGTCTGAAATGTTACCAATATGCCAGTATGATAAATACTTAGAGTGGATAGGCTGATGAAATTATGACATTTCTATCAGAAAAGTCTATAACTTGGTCAGGATTTGGAAGGTGCCTCCTAAATACAATTACTGCTATACCAACCTGCTCAGTAACTACACTGAAAATTGGCACTAAGATTATATTGAACATTATCTGTTGTCTGAGATATATATATATATATATATATATAATGTTCACAACATAGTTCCGAGTTGACTACTTCTGTGTCAAATACTATTGTAAATCTAATATGAACAGCAGTGAATGGGATTCAACCCATTACCCAATAAATACTAAGTATTCTTCAACCATTTCTTTTGGTGTTATGTTTGCAGCATTCCATTCTTGCAGTCCCATTGAGTTTAGGTGTGCAAATGGCCGATGCATATTCCGGTCATGGAAATGTGATCATGAAAATGACTGCCGAGATGGTTCAGATGAATTAGATTGCAACTATCCACCATGTGCTAAGGAAGAATTTACATGCGCTAACCATCGCTGCATACCCATGTTACAGGTGTGCTTGATCTTTACAAAAGTTCTTGTCTTTATCAGTTCACTTATTGTACTGTAGTGAATCTGTGCACTTGAGATCCATTAGAAGTAAAAGGCAAGAAGATCAGAGGGGTGGGAAGGGTAGCACATAAAGAAAAATGTACTGTCTTTACTATAAACATTATTTCCCAGTCCATTACTTTATAGCTTACTGTCTCATTTCCTATGTAAGTATATGTTTGGTTTGCAAAGTATGTGTGTTTGTTTTCTTTCTCTTTGCAGTCTAGTGACACAGGTAAAATGCACATATTTGGTCTGATTACAGTTCTTAGATGTTGTAAATATTGAGAGAATATTTTCTGTGGTCAGAACCTATATCTGTTAGAATATTATTGTATTGTACTATTACCATTGTTCAAAAGCCATGAGTAATTAGATTTTACTGTTAAAATAGAGTGGTTAGAGTTTCTTTTACTGATCTTGTCGGGTACAAAATAAATTCACTGCAAGGATCGGTACTGTTATGTGAGATATTTTGTGTGTATTGTTGGAAGGATTGATGCTGTACACACAGACTAATTGAGTGGAGTTTGTGTTACAAGCATTGTTGTAATTTGTAATAGGGTTTTTTAGTTATATTATTGAAAACCTGCTTTCAATGTTTTGGAATTACACTTAATATAATCTAATCTAATCTTACTAATGTAAGGTTTTCATACTGAAGGTAGAGATTGTGAACCAAGTTTTGCTATGGTTATTGAAATTGTAAAAGAAATGGGAGGAAAACATGTCTTAATGCATCCTGGTAAGAGGTATGTCTCTGTAATTGTTACTGTTTTACAGTATTGAAATGTGCCTGTCTGCATATTTCCAGGTCTGCAATGGTGTGAATGACTGTAAGGATAATGTAACTTCAGACGAGACTCATGATCGCTGTCCACGCAACACAACTTGTCCAGTAAACCACCTCAAGTGTGAGAAGACAAACATCTGTGTTGAGCCATACTGGCTGTGTGATGGAGACAATGACTGCGGTGACAATAGTGACGAAGATGCAATCCATTGTGCTCAACGCACATGCCCACAGAACAGCTTTAGGTTCGATAACACAACTTATAGTTGTTCTTTACACTTCTTCATAAGCAAAGAACACCTTATGGGCTTCATCTGTTCCTTTTTCACAATGTTATTTCAACAGTGACCTTAGATTGTGTCATTAGAACAATCAGTATGGATCAAACTGTCAAAGCAGTGGTCTTGGATAACAGTATTGCCTTTGATATCATTGCTTTATTTGCTTTTCCCATGGTTGCCCTCCTGATGTCATCACCTATGATGTGTAAAGAATACCTTCAGAATTTTTGTGTACTCCAGAAGTTGAACTTTTTACAGTCTTCTTTTTAATTGAGAGCATAAAATATTTTGAAATTGTGTTTACAGGAGAACATTTTAACCTAACTGGGATGATATAGTTGGACAGTTTAAGGCTGGGGCCCCATGACCGTACAAAGTACGTCCATTGTAACACACATCATGACGGACGTACTTTGTACGGTCGTGTGGCCCCAGCCTAAGATGTTTGTGATTTGCACAGGTCCTTTAGTATTGCTGCAGTAGTGAAACCAAGTAGGTTGCAATGGACTGAATTGGATGGGGACAACAAGAAATGTATAGAAAATGTTGGTTGAGAAATAACTTGAGAGGTCCAAAAGGAGGTGGGAAAATAACAATAAGAACTATCATAGTGAAAGAAGTTGTGAGTGTAGGAGATAGGGAATGAAACTCGCTCAAATTAATGTCCAGTAACAAACTTTGATATAAGTGGTGTCAAATCTTTAGGAATGAGTTTAATAATTTGTTGGGGATGTATTTTTGTGCATTATACCAGGGCTTTTTATCTAGGAAAAAGGTGGTACTTTGAGGTTAGAGCTGACAATGTATTTTAACATACTTTTATGTTTTGAAGAGAAGGTTGTGGTACTGTGTAATGGCATTGTCTGCCGGGAAGAAAAGTTCTGTGTTATATCAAGAAGTTATTAATTGAAATAGCTGTTAACTTGCAACATCATCCCACATTGTCTGCAGGTGCCCAAATCATCGATGCATCCCAGCAACGTGGTATTGTGATGGTGATGATGATTGTGGAGATGGGTCTGATGAACCACCAGAGTACTGCAAGTCTGAAGGTCGGACGTGCTTTGGTGATTTGTTCACGTGTGATAATGGGAATTGCATTCCTCGCATTTATATTTGTGATGGAGATAATGACTGCCTTGACAACTCAGATGAAGATGAAAGGCATCAGTGCAGTAAGTAATGTGAATGTCAATCTGTTGGGTAGTATTTTGGCTAAAGATTTTAGCTCTGATGATGGAGGCAGTATATTATTCTGAAACATTGGCACACAGCCATAATACTACATGGCATTATCATTGACAATATGATTTGCTTCATGCACATGTCTCGAATATCTCATTGTTTTTCATTTAATCACCATAATAATTACAAAACTCCTATTTATGAAATATTTTTTGATCATTCTGTTGCATTTACATTGTTAATTACTGGTCAAATATTTTGCAGATGCTCGAGTATGTGATGAGGAAACAGAATTCACATGTAAAGAAAACAAGTTGTGGAACCGAGCACAATGCATACCGCGCAAGTGGTTGTGTGATGGTGATCCTGATTGTGTGGATGGAGCAGATGAAAATATAACACTACACCATTGCTCCACTCCAGTGCCTTGCAGTGATGAGCAGTTTGCCTGTAATAATGGCCGTTGCATAAACAGGGTAAGGACATATGAGGTTTGACATTTTCACACTGATTAAATTGTAGATTGAGCAGTTTGATCATGTTCTAGGTTTGTACATGAGAGATTTGAATTTTGTTCTGTTACCAGTTAACCTGACTGAGGTGCTTTTATGTTTTTCCTCATCCTGTTGAGGTAAATGTTATAAAAATACACTACTGCCTGGAGAAAATTAAAAAAAAGAAAAAGAAGTACTGCAAATTGATTGTGTTCAGAAATTCATTACTTTTAATTACACATTTTTGATTGCTTCTGTCTCAAAGACTTTGCATCTTATTTAGTCATATCCTGTTAACTCGCTTAGAAGATGAAATGACACATAAAAACAAATTTTAATATTTTCATGACTGACAGTTTCTGAGTGGATTTTGTAAGTACAGTGAACCTCTCTCTTGCAGGGTTGGATGTGTGACCATGATAATGACTGTGGTGATGGTTCTGATGAAGGAAAGTTCTGTAACTCCCAGTATAAGACCTGCAGCACTCTGGAGTTTACCTGCCAGAACTTCAAATGTATTAGAACCTTATACCACTGCGATGGTGAAGATGATTGTGGTGATAACTCTGATGAATTTGATTGCCGCAGTGAGTACTATTTAGTCATCTGAATAATGATGAGATCACCAGTATTAATGATTGTAGTCTCCAGATTATGTAACCATTATTTATCTTGTTGCCTTGGGCCACAGATTTAAATGTCTTTTATTGTTATAGAACATACCCATATATCCATCTCCTTTATATTGTCTGATTTTTCAGGCAGCTATGAAATTCTCTTAACTCTTTAGACAAAGATTACCAAATATTTACTTTAATGCAAATGTTTCTGGGGAATTAGGTATCTGTGTTATCCCTTTCAGTTACTCCCTCCTTCTGCATCATTAAACCATGTTCTGCATATATTTTAAAGTAATGTAATGTGCACCTTATCTGGCTAATTCTGTTCAATTTTTACATTTATTTTGTTGCATGTCTAGTAGTTTAGTAGTGATATAATGTGAAAAACATTGCTTTTGTTTAGAGAAATCTGTTCTGTTTGCCATATTAACATTCTATTCTCAGTTTATTTTTTTATTATTATTATTGAGATGTTTCTGCTTGTCATAGTGCCATACATATCAGATTTCTATGCAGACATTGGCTACTGACTTATGTTACATAAATAAATTTCAAGCTGTGAAATCTGTTTTGGTGCAAAAATAATTTATTATGCTTCTGATGAGTACTGTAATATCCACACAAACAGGAAAATACCTTTGCATGAGGTTGTAATAAGAATTTATAACTGTATAACTGTAGTTTTGTCAGTAGGTAGTAGTTGAAACTTTCCAACATATGTGTCTGTGTTATTCAGAAAAAGAAAAGGCACAGTGTGCGCAAGGCCAGTTCATGTGCAACAACGGACAATGTATTGATTATCATCTGGTGTGCAACAAGGTGTCAGATTGCTCTGATGACAGTGACGAGCCTCTTCATTGTAATGTAGATGAGTGCTCCAAGGTGGAAGTACACCAATGTGGACATAAGTGTGTGGACACTCTTACAGGCTTCTACTGTGAGTGTAACCAGGGCTACAAGTAAGTAGACTCTACCAAGAAATTTTCTGTAGGCTTTTAAATCTTTCACAGTTGTGGTATCTTGTGTCTGATTGTTGTACGTATTATGTTACAGTGCTGATGGCAGGTACTGGGGATTAAAAATTTCCCTCACTTCCCTCAACACATATCAGAAGGAAAATTACTTCCTTTTCACTATGTTTATTTCTACTGTTTCGAAGCTTTTCTTCAACAAATATCATGTATTTTTTTATAAGAAGCAGTACATGTGTTATATGCTATTATTTTTATGAATATACTGAGCACTAAAAACTGCTAGGGTTCCAATGCACAAAATACTGTTCTTATATGAATTTGAAGTCATTTTAGATTAGACACTGCAAAAGAATTGTATAGATATCTTATTTAAAGGCAACATTTTATTTGCTATTATGATATTTGTGTCAAGTGTGCAGGAAAGATCCTGACAAAGAAAGTATTCTTTTCAAAGTCATCTTACAGAGACTTGAACTACTGTCTCTGTAGTTATCAATAATTCAGCACTTCTCATTTTCTTTCCTGAAATTATATTCTAATGAGGCACCCCTGCATTTTAGCAGACACATAACGGATATCTGAATGATCAAGGCAGTGGCCATATTGATCTGCATAATGGCCAACATAGTCAGTGGACCAACCGCATTCTGCTAGATTTAAGTTGAAAGACACATGAGTGACCGTGATGTTTCTCTTAAAATTTATATATTTTGTGAAATTCCTTAACTAGCCAAGTAACTATCAATGTTTTAAGGGATGACCGTGCATTGTGAAGCTAACTAAGTACTTAGCCCATAAATCTAATTTAGTTTAGTTTAGTTAGATTAGTTTAATTTAATTTATTACTTAATTATAATATGTATAATGAGAAAGCAAAAATTGGTAAAGGACTTTATTGTTAATATCTGAACAGAAGTACATTGTGGGTTGATATATTCTCATGCTATATTTTACCCATCCTTGATTTAATGAATGGTAATTAATGATAGAACTAAGAGGAATGTTCTGTATTTAAATCATGAAGTCTCTTAGGAGATCACTCTTCTCGCAGGTTGATCTGTATGTGAAATTGCTTCTTCTTACAGACTGTTGGAAGATGGAAAAGCATGTGCTGACATTGATGAATGCATAGAGACACCTGGTGTGTGTTCACAGTATTGTTCTAATACACCAGGATCATACTACTGCAAATGCAATGAGGAATATTATGAACGAGCAACAGATGAACATACATGCAAGCGGCGAGAGAAAACTCGGCCATGGCTTATTTTTACAAACAAGTATTATGTTCGAAACATGTCTTTAGATGCTTCAGTTTACTCACTAATTCACCAAGACCTCATGAATGTTGTGGCTCTTGATTTTGACTATAAGGATGGATATATGTACTTCTGTGATGTCAGTGCCAAAACAATATTCAGGTTTGTTGCTGTGCTTTTACAAATAGAATATGTATGTTTATTCTTGGAGGACTGGCTGTCTGGTTGCTCATCCTACCTATACCTCCCAGACAACTTTAAGTTTCGTAGAAACTTAACTCCTAAACTGATTGCTGGAGTGTAGGATAGTCTCATGAAACTGAAACTCTTTTATGATTTTGAGGAAATTGAGGCATCACATTGGCATGAGATCCAATCTGGGGTCCATATTAAACATGCAGTAAAATATATCTGTTTAATAAAGTCCCCATCCTATCCTTCTGCTATCTTGGTAGTTTTAGAGACTGCAAGAATTATAGGGATATTTTGTTAAGAATTGAACAGTAAATGGAAAATGAATTTTACAAAATCTTGTTGTTATAATTTCAGGTCACGAATAGGATCATCTGAACCAAAAGAACCAGTTATTCGCCATGACAGCCACGGACTAGAGGGAATTGCTATAGATTGGGTTGGTCGCAAGTTGTACTGGCTGGACCGACACAGCAAACAGCTTGATGTTGCTGAGCTTGATGGCACCCGGCGCAAAACTCTTAAAGTTGGCATTGCTGATCCTCGTGCTCTTGCTGTTCACCCTGGAACTGGTTATTTGTATTTCACCAGCTGGCACCTTCAGGCAAGATGCTTTTAAATTTACCATGTGATCCTTTCCCTTTCTATAACTGTTTCACATCGCATACTGAGAGTGACTATCACTGTCACTAAAAGTTATGTATGAATCTGTGGTATTTCTTTGGCAGATTATAAAATGTCTTTACTTGAAAGAAACTGCTAATTTATCATGGATGTTGTGATACAAGCAACAGGTCGATTAAAAGCGATTTTAGATAAACATGGTTAATTCTGCATCATATTGTGGCCAACCATGGACTAACATAGTTTGAACTGTTCCCAAAGGGTGGCAGAATCTTCTGAATAAGTTTAGAAGGTTATGGATTAAATACTATTCACACAATAAGACTGCAAAGTTTGAATTAAGTGTTCTCTACCACAGCAGAGGATGAAATTTAGTGCAGTTTTGACACCATGGAGAAGACATTAAGGAATAGAACCAGGGAATGATTGACTTGCAGCTTTTTGTGGATTTATTACTAAACAACTTGTACTCTACCCGAGATTAACTGATTGTCATGACCAAGTGGTTAACACTCTTCTGTGTATTCAGAAAGTCTGTGATTCAAAGTCTGGCCTGGATACCAGGTGTTTGATTGAGGTTTTGAATTTTTTTCCTGAATCACTGTAGCCAAATACAGGCTTAAATTAGGCAATGACTACTTCTTTCCATATCCTTTCAGATTCATTATTAATTAATCATCTTACCATCCAACACTGATCTACTGACAGCATGACTAAAGCACAAATATATAATTAGCTATAGTGTAACTATATACATTAAGTTAAAAACGTGTAGCTCTTATTTAGCGAAGTTTCTTACATTCTGGCAGAATCCCAGAAATTTCTTCTTTCAACATTTTTACAATTTAAGTAAGCACTAATCCACGTTTTATCAGTGCTTTTTGTTGTAGGCATTTATTGGCAAAGTGGGTATGGACGGCTCTAATTTTACAAGAATTCTTACATGGGAGAATAATATTGCATGGCCAAATGCCCTCACTATTGACTATTTTACGGATCATATCTACTGGGCTGATGCGCACCTGGATTATATTGCATTTGCTGACCTGGAAGGCCATCATCACCATATTGTGTTGTCAGGTGAAAAGGTGCCTCACGTATTTGCCATTACACTGTTTGATGACTTCCTTTACTGGACTGACTGGAATCTGAAGGCCATTAGCAAAGCCAACAAGTTCACAGGTAAGGTGATTATTCCATATTGTATGTGAGGTGAAAAGGATAGTTCATTTAGCAGTCAGAGATATGAGAATCAAAATATAATTGTGAAACATTTACAATCACATAAATATCAGGAACATATAGTGACAGGTGCTAATAATGTTTTCACCTGATTTTTTTATTATTATTACTGTTAGTAATAATAGTAGTAGTGATGATTTATAGGCAATGGATGTATGAAATGCTTTCCAAAGGTAATTTTAATTTCAATGTGAAAGGTTTGTTCCTGATAACACAGCCTACAAGCTTAAAGATAGTATTTTCTCTCTATACACATGACTTAATATATCAGGAAACTCACATAAAAGCTTAAATTTCTTTTAAAAATAACCTAATCACCTTAATAGGTCTGGTACTTGTTCCAGAATATTTATACTGTCATGAGTTAGTTTTTGAATATAGTGGTATTTTATTCACTTCACATGAACTAATGCAACACAGTCATCAGTACCTTAATAGTAAAAATGTGACGGTAAAGTTGTCTATATGTCTAAACACCACCCATAATGTTGTATAGTACGGGTGAAGTTAAGACTTCATACATTCTTAAACTCGGTTCTTAACCTGTTAACTGTAGTACTTCATTTACTGTGTCCCTGGGGAAGAGCCCCCAAAATGTGTAGAATAAGAGACAGGGTTAACCTCATAACTAATCCCAATGTTGGTGGCAAAGAGAAATTCTGCCTGTGTCAAGAATCAAATGTCAGTTGACCAGCCTGTAGTAATCTCTTTTACTGTCTGTGCTATTTTGACTCATCCATATGAAGACGAGTTTGACATTAAACTGGAATGGGCTTTATGAGATGCATCTTTTTCATTACTAAAGGAATTGATAGCTTATTAACAGAAATTAATATTTTGATATAATGCTTTATAACATAAAATACATGTCAATCAAAACCAGAATTGATTTTCATATTTTTGTCTAATATTAACAGGTAAAGACTTGGCAGTAATTCGAAATACAACACATCGTCCATATGACTTGCACATATTCCATCCACTGCGACAACTACCATATCCTAATCCATGTGGAGACAACAATGGTGGCTGTTCACACCTCTGTCTGATCAGCCCAAAGCCTAAAACAGGTGACGAACCAGTCCCCACAGGCTTCAGAGAGGGGGAAGGTCCAGTGACGTATATATGTGCTTGTCCAAATCAGTTTTATCTGTCACCACAGGATAACAAGACCTGTATTGCCAACTGTACAACTGGACAACATCGTTGTGGTGGAAATGATGATAAATGCATACCCTGGTTCTGGAAGTAAGCTTCATCTTTTTCTTCTTCTTCCTAAGACATTTCCACTTTTAATGGGTCATGTTACAACAATACCTCTTCATTTGTCTCTTTGTCTTCCGACAACTACTCAATTTCCTTCCTTCTTTGTGACATCTTTCCTAACCTGTTGATCCCATTTTGATCTTGTGTACTCTTGGTCATTTTCTTTTCAGGTTTATGCTCAAAATCTTTGAAATTTCTACTTCAGTGATTCCTTGTAATGTGTCCATAACATCTCTTCATGTTATTTCTTCTTTGTGTTCCAAGATGTTTAACTGTGTGTCTGTTGACCTCTCTAAAAAACTTATGATAATATGAAAATTAACTGATACCGCTAAATCAAAATTAAGTACATGTCGGTGAGAACCCAAACAGTAAGAATCTGTCTTTTTGTCATTTATGTCAGTGTTAGTTCAAAATGGGTCTTAGATATTGCAGTTTTATATTTTATTAGCATTTATTTTTTCAGAATTAGACATTTAACTGTATAATAAAGTTTTCAACAACTTTGGATTGTTCTGTTAATGTGATGTTTTTATTTTTATTAATTCCATCATAATGTGAATACATAATATAAACTCATGAGCAATTGAGTGGCAAACACTCTTTGACAAATAACATTTTAACTTAATCCTTGTCTTTGATAGATGTGATGGAGAGAGAGACTGTAAAGATGGCACAGATGAACCATCATCGTGCCCTGAACGTCACTGTCGTGCAGGAACTTATCAGTGTAGTAATGGCAACTGTACAGCATCAGCCACTATCTGTGATGGAGTAGATGACTGTGGAGATGGTTCTGATGAAAAGAATTGTGATTTACCATGTCCTGACTTGGAATTCAAGTGCAAGTCTAATGGTCGATGTGTGCTAAATGCATGGATGTGTGATGGAGATGCTGACTGCAAAGATCGCAGTGATGAAGCTCCAGAAATATGCCGTAAGTTTCTTAATCACTCAGAGAATCAACTTCTGTTCTAGTGGATAACATATTTTTTAAAGCACTTATTGCTTCGTCTGTTTCTCCATTCACATGTATCATGTCCTGTATTACTCAACCAATTTTATCAAAGTCAGTATGGCAGCCTAATATTAAATTCTGTAAATATTTTCTTAGTATTGGCTTATTTTGGATAATTTTTAAGGCAATTTTACTCAAGAGGTAAAATAAACTTTTTACATGTATCTATGAGTGAAATTATTTTATTAAAACCTAGTATGTGGCTTATTTGTTATATAGGTAGTGCTGTGTGTGAGTTTTGATTGTTTAACAGAGTTAGATGAAAAGTAATATGCAGCACTTACATTATGCAAGTGTACCTTATGTATGATCCATTCTTGAGTAGATTGTCAATGTTTTAATTAAGCATTAGAAAACATTTTTGTTTACAGATAACAGAAAATGTGATCCTGAAACAGAGTTTTCTTGCAAAAATGGAAGGTGCATCCCAAAATTATGGATGTGTGATTTTGATAATGACTGTGGAGATGACTCAGATGAGCCCGCTTATATGTGCAGGTAAAATATTATCAGTGTCATGTGCCATTATGTGTTTTATAATGTCTGAGTCACTTAATGATAGGGCCCATTTATGGGAATTTGTTGTGACAGTGGTGAACATCCAGGTTCCATAATAACAGGGGATCTGATCTACCTAAATAAAAATTGACTTCTTCTGTATAAAGGAAATATTTTAAGAGCTATTTATATAGAATATATGAATTAAATATATGTTGATGAGTGGGTAGGTATTATTTTTCGTTTGTAATTTAATGGTGAGTGTATACTGAATATATGTTGTATCATGACAGGTATACCTGTAAACCAATTTGAATTGTACTTGTGAACCCATGTGAATTAAAATATTATTTTATTCAGAAATTAGGCCTTTTGCAAATCAACACTCATTATTAATCCATCAGATGATATCAGACCAAACAAGTATTTAGTGGGTAGCTGGTCCCAGTGGACTACCTATTGGTCTGAATGTTTTCATGGTTTTATTCAGGCTGCAGTTGAGTGCCAGGATTAACTGTCTCCTTCTGAATTCTTTTATACTTACCTCATTCAATGCTGTTCTACCTTTGCAGTTGGAATAAGATAACTAGGTAACCCAAGTATTAATCAAACAATGTTTTACCCACTTGTTCTACATTGTGAAATGTTATTATTTCTTTTGAACATTAAATTATTGAAGTTGTGTTTAACCTCATTAAATATAGGTGTGTAGTAACTAACAGGATTGTACAGTGTTAAAATATGAGTGTTTTTTTATTGAAACAGGCAGCGAAACTGTACCACTGGGTGGCAGCGATGTCCAGGACGCACCAACTACCGGTGTATCCCCAAGTGGCTGTTCTGTGATGGCAAAGATGACTGCCGTGATGGAAGTGATGAGTTGCCAGAGAATTGTCCCAAGTGTCATGAAACTGGAGATTTCCGCTGTACAAACAACCGATGCATCCCCAAGTAAGTAACCCTATTTTATTGTAGGATTTGAGGTTTCCATGGCGATATGATTACCAGTCTTCTGGTTTGTTGTCCTGTACACTATTTTGGCTTTGTGCCAACATTTCAGAGGAACATACTTCCCACTGATGGAGATCATTGGGGCTAAATACATTTAGTTAAAGGGTTATAAAAGATTATAAATTTGCAGTACTTAAAAGAAGACATTAAAACACAAGATTTATAAAGTTGAAAATTAAGAATGATAAAGTAAGGTAATAGATGATTTAGTTTACAAAAACTTTTCTCAGAAATTAATGTTGTTTGTATTAAATAGCTGATTGAAACTGCTGTTCTCTCAACAATTATTTCCAAATATATAAATAAATCTGGGTGATAATTATGTCTCTCTTGATTCTAATATCACTTAATTATTTTTATAATACCCTTAAGGTTGTTTAGATATGCTGGAAATAAGATTTGTTATGTTGTTTGTTCCTGTGCAATGTCAGACAGACATGAGACCACTATTCAGTAAACTCACTTTTGTTTCCTCAGAGAGTGTGTGTTTATGTGTGGGTGTCTCTTGTGCCTGAAATTTATTTAAAACTGTACATAATCTGTGAACACATATAGCATGATTGAAGATGGCTGTCTTCTGGGATGCTGTGCTGCGTAGTCTGGTAGCTACTGAATGACATTTCAGAGGAGCTTTCTGCCTCTCATCAGGGTGATGATCTATCAGCTTATATGGTGCAACATCCCAGAAGGCAGCCATCTTCATACTTGTCACCACCAGAACCTGAAATCTCACCTATGATATGATTTTTCAAAGTGTACTTTAATGGTATCTTCTTTACTTGAAAATAATTAATTAATTAATGTGGCAGAGGGTAATGTGTGTCATGGTAATGTGTTCATGAACAATAATTACATTGTATGTGTTGACTGATTTCATATGTTTATATAAGTTTAAAACACAGGTGTACTGAAAGAGGTAACGTGACCATTCTCTATCACACAGTTGTTTAATCCGGTAGCTGCCTAATTCTTTCGTACCTATCCTATCTTACTTCAGTTTAAAACTCTGTTGCTTTACAGGCGATGGCTGTGTGACTTTGAGAATGACTGTGGTGACAATAGTGATGAACAGGATGCCCACTGCCACGGTTCCTATCGTGAATGCTCCGAGTCAGAGTTCCGGTGTAACAACAATAAGTGCATTCCTAACCGGTGGCGATGTGATGTTGATGATGACTGTGGTGACAACTCGGATGAAATAACCTGCTCAGGCTTTCAATGCAAGGTAAGTTGGCACTCTTTATGGACATTATATACATTATGCATATTGGAAGTATCTTCTCTTTCTCTAAAGATGTTTCCAATTAATGTGGATTGTCATATTTACAATGTATTTTTATACATAATTATACATTACAAGGAAAGTTGATTAGTTTATTAAGGTTACTGTTATATGGATGAATAGGATTCTTTGAGACTTGAAAAAGCAATCACAAATGGTTTCATGGTTTTTCTTAATAAAAGCATTGTAGATGCTTCTGTGTGCTGCACCATGTCAGAGTGGTAAAAATTACTAACATTTTTGAGGAACTTGCTGCATTCTCCTCCATTGTCAACTCTTATTAATAAAATGTTGGTAATTTTTGCACTCTGACATAGTTCAGTTTTCATATACATCTTCTATG